TGTGTCCGCCGATAACTAAAAAAAAAAATAAATATTAAAATTCTCTCCCCCCCCCCCCCCCTCTTTTAAAAAAAAAAAAAAAGAGCAAATTAAAAAAAAAAAAAAAAAAAAAAACTTGAGCCACAAAAGCTGGTCTGCAAAAAGGACACGGCAACCCTAGTACACTGCAGGGATAGGGGAGGAATTCTACTCTGCCAAGGGCAGAGCACAAACAACTTTATGCCACATTCTTCCCATGCCAGAGGAGCCAGCAGCAAAGGGGAGGTAAGCTGGCCCCTGACCTGCTCTCTTTGGCTACATCCCAGACCCGGAGATTGGGCAGTCTTCTCTCCCAGAACATCCACTTCTGGATCGGGAAGGACTCCTCCCAGGATGAGCAGAGCTGTGCAGCTATCTACACCACACAGCTGGACGACTACCTGGGAGGCAGCCCTGTGCAGCACCGAGAGATCCAGTTCCATGAGTCTGACACCTTCCGAGGCTACTTCAAACAGGGCATCGTGTAAGTAGTAATATCAGCACTGAACAAGGACAGAGACAGCCATTAACAGAAGAAACCCATAGGGCCAATTCACATGCTGGACCTTGGGGCTCAGTGGTAGAGAACTTGCCTCGCATGTGTGAAGCCCTTGGGTTTCTTCCCGAGTACCACAAAAAGAAAAAAAAAAAGAAAGAAGTAATCTGAGAAACACAAAGCAAAACAAAGCTGCCATTGACACTTATTAAATTAGCACAAATTAGAGAGCTGGGTGGTGCCAACTGCTGGTGAGGCCGCAAGGAAATGGAGCTTCATGCCTGCTGATGGCAGTGTGGACTGACACTGCATTCTGGAAAATAGTCAATGCCACTAATGCAATTTTTCACTTGGGGGTATACACCTCAAAGAGAGTTTTACATACTCAGGACCATAAAGGCACACAAACCAGAATGTTCATAGTTGTGTCAGTGGTGGTAGGAAGCTGTGGGCAGATTAACTGGGAGACTGAACATGTGCACCAGAAGCAACAGATTAGATTACGTACCTAGCACATGGACACATCTCACAGACATAGTGCTTACAGAACACAGTATGAAATAGACTACTACATAACAGAATCCAACTTCTGTTTTATTAAAAAAAAAAAAAAAAAAAAAAAGCACATAAGCAACAGGACACATCTTACTGAAATGAAAATGAAAAGAGATGTTAAACTGGGCTGGGGTTATAGCTCAGTAGTACAGCACTGGCCTAGCATGTGCAAGGCCCTAGTTTCGACCCTCAGCATCACATAAAAATAAATAGATAAAATAAAGGCATTGTGTCCAACTACAACTAAAAAATAAATATTAAAAAAAAAAAAGAATGAAAGAGTGTGGTGGGAGGAAGAAGGGGAATGGGGCACACAGATAAGAGGAAGTACATAGACACTCAACACAAGAGGGGCTTATAAGGCCAATGATGATGATGTTCCATAAACTGAGGAGTTACATTAATTTAAACTTTGTACCTAAAATTAAAAACAAAAAATTCCAATGAAGTTTCCCTCTGTCTGGAACACTATTCCTTGTGTTGTTGGCTCCTTCTAATTGTAATATTCCAGCTCAAATGCCAGTTCTTTTTTGTGGGGGAGAGGGTTCCAGGGTTCAACTCAGGGGCACTCAACCACTAAGCACTTCCCCAGCCCTATTTTGTATTTTATTTAGAGACAGGGTCTGAGTTGTTTAGTATCTTGCCATTGCTGAAGCTGTCAAATGCTAGTTCTTCAGAGACATCTGCCTTGACCCATCAGAAAGTCAGTCCAAGTCTACTTGTAGGAAAACAGCTACTGCCATCTGTATTTACCTAGTTCATTTGTTGTCGTCACTCATCCGGGCAGAGGATGCATCTGTATAATTCACAGCAGTCTTCTCAGAACCTTAGCACAGATGCTCAATAAATAACTACATGGATGTCCCCTCAGTTATAAAAAGGGAGGTGTAGCCTCTGGGATGAAGCATGTGGAGACCAACACATATGATGTGAAGCGGCTGCTACACGTGAAGGGGAAGAGAAATATCAGGGCCACCGAGGTGAGTCCTGCCTACTGACTACCCTGGGCCCAGGGCTTCCCTACCTGGCACCTAAGAATATCTCCTCAACAATGTTTACCTCTCACCTGCAGGTGGAAATGAGCTGGGACAGTTTTAACCAAGGTGATGTCTTCTTGCTGGACCTTGGGAAGGTCATCATCCAATGGAATGGTCCAGAGAGCAACAGTGGAGAGCGCCTGAAGGTATGGTATGGCCTTTCAGTCTTAGAGCTCTCTCCTCTCAGGCCTGGTTATGAGTCTGGGCCCTCTCAGATAGTTTTACCCTTTTCCTTCCATGCTGTTTGTTCTCTAAGATTCAAAGTGGACCCTGCCTTTTTTTTTTTTTTTCCTTGAGACAGGGTCTCACAAAGTTGCTGAGGCTGGATTTAAACTTATGATTCTCCTGCCTCAGCCTCCTGAGTAACAGGTATGCCTAGCTGGGTCCCTGTCTTTGAGTAGTCTAGGCAAAATGCAGGACTCCTCGGCATCAGAATAACTCCTGTGTCTAGAATTAAGTTTGCTCCCCCTGAGCCTATCAGGCAGAAAGGGGTTCCAGATGAGCTGAGTGCTTCCTTGGGCTTCTTTAACAGGCTATGCTTCTGGCAAAGGACATTCGAGACAGGGAGCGAGGGGGCCGTGCTGAAATAGGAGTGATCGAAGGAGACAAGGAGGCAGCCAGCCCAGAGCTGATGAAGGTTCTTCAGGACACCCTTGGTCAACGCTCAATTATCAAGCCTGCAGTCCCCGATGAGATCATAGATCAGCAGCAGAAATCAAATATCATGCTATATCAGTGAGTAGATAAACTCGGCTGCTGGTTAGAGGCTGGGTAGTGGAAGGTGTCCCCTAAAAAGCCAGGCACTCACCTTGGCTCCTTGTTCTGGGTGCAGGCACCTGGTTTTCTTCTCTGTCCTTTTCAAATGCAACAACTCCCATTAAGAGCTCAGAGACTCCCCTCTCAAGGAGGCAGCTATCTTCTGTTCTTGTTAGCAACTCAGTCCTGCTCTCTTAGGGAGACCTTTCCTGTACGCTGGTCTATATGTGCTCAGTGACGTGGAAAGAATAAAGTCTGGGACAAAAGTCTCCTCCAGAGAACAGAATCTGTATATTCCTGACTGCATCTAAGTCATGTCTATCTTAAGAAGTCGAACTCCTCCCAGATACACCCAACTGAAACATCAAATTGACTACAGGATTCTTTGTAGAAGAGAAGGTGCAAGCTAACTTCTCCCCTTCTCCAGTGTCTCAGATTCGGTCGGGCAGTTGGTGGTCACAGAGGTAGCAACGAGGCCTCTAGTCCAGGACTTACTGAACCATGATGTAAGTACAGCTTGAAGGGGCTTAGCTCAGGGCAGCCAGACCTGGCTTCAAAAATGAACCTTGGAGCCAGGCATGGTGGCACATGCCTGTAATCCCAGAGACTTGGGAGGCCAAGGCAGGAGGATCAGAAGTTCAAGGCCAGCCTCAATGAGGCCCTAAGCAATTTAGCAAGACCTTGTCTCTAAATAAAATGTAAAAAGAGGCTGGGGATGTGGTTCAGTGGTTAAATGCCTCTGGATTCAATCACTGGTACCAAATAAATAAATAAATAAAAAACAGAGCCTAGGCAAAGTCCTTCCTTCTGATCTTGAACAGCAGTAACCACATTTGTTCCTGACTGCTTCAGGACTGCTACATTGTGGACCAAAGTGGAACCAAGATCTACGTGTGGAAAGGAAAAGGAGCCACAAAGGTTGAGAAACAGGCAGCCATGTCTAAAGCCCTGGTAGGAGCTACAGATGTGTGGTAATACATCTACTAATATCACTTCAGATATGTGCAGAGAGCCATGCTAAGCACTTGCACATATAATACTGAGGTAACATAAATGAACTTCAAAGTCAGACAGACAAACCAAGATTCAAATCCAGGTTTTACCTTTTCCTGTTGAATATTCTGGGGCAAGACACTGAATACTACCAAGCCTCAGTTTCTCCACATCTAACACAGGGGTAATAACTATCTCCTAGGTTGTTGTGAGGGTTAAATACCATATGTAAAACATTCAGAACAGTAGTTGGCACACAGCACCTGCTCCATAATAGGTGACTGATGTTATTGAAGGAGATATCGCATGTCAAGGTTAATGGTCCTTTCCTCAAGGAGCTTATGATATTCATGCAGACCCAGCAAACAAGATGTACTTACAAAGCAATAAATGAGCAAATGACAGTAATACAAAGTCAGTAGAGCTATATAAGTGCTGAAGGAACACAGCATACAGGGTCTTACAAAAACAGTAATTATCATAATCATGATAGGCCTATGAAGAGATGCTAAGATGTTCCACACAGGCAATTTTTGAGGTAGGTAATTTGGTCCTTAGACAGAAGTGAGTTAGAATTTTGACTCCCAGAGAAGAAGGATCCTACCAACTAACTTCAAAGGGGTTAATTATCAGAGAAGCAAAGAGCTCGATATATTCCCCAACTGACCTGCCTTTGTATTCGGGTGCGTCTACAGGGCTTCATCAGAATGAAGGGCTACCCCAGCAGCACTAACGTGGAGACCGTCAATGATGGTGCTGAGTCAGCCATGTTCAAGCAGCTGTTCCAGAAGTGGTCAGTGAAGGACCAGACCACAGGCCTGGGGAAAATGTTCAACATTGGTAAAATTGGTGAGATTGCCCCCAGAGAATCCTGTCACTACTAGACAGCCAGGCATAGGTGCTCCTCACTCACCGCTCTTCCCAACTCTTCCTATGCAGCTAAAGTTTCCCAGGACAAGTTTGATGTGACTCTGCTACACACAAAGCCAGAGGTAGCTGCCCAGGAAAGAATGGTGGATGATGGCAGTGGGAAAGTTGAGGTGAGCCCAGTGAGGGCAACACTGGTCCTCTTGCCTGCTGTAGAGGAGGCAGGTGATTCTGTCTGCTCTCCTTTCCCTTTCCCCTCTGGTTCCTCAGTATTCTATAAGAGGCTTGCAAGTTGACAGTTTCCCCACAATGCTTCAGGGAAGTGAAAGACACATCCTCAAATCTGCTACCAGTAACTCACCTGACAGATATATTCAAATCATTGCTTGCCTAGCCTACAAAAACCCAGCTGGACAGGATACACCCAATAAGGATAACTCAGTTTTTTGTTTGTGGTTCAGGGAATTTTTTTCTTATTTTTTTTTAAACTGGGAATTGGACCTAAGGGTAATTTACCACTGAGCTATATCCCCAATCCTTTTTATTTTGAGACAGGGTCTTGCTAAGTGGCTGAGGCTGGTCTCAAACTTGCAACTTTTCTGTCTCAGCCTCCTGAGTCACTGGAATTATAGGTGTGTACCACCATACCTGGCCGATGCTGGGGATTGAACCCTAAGGCTTCACACATGTAAGGCAAGCACTCTACCACTGAGCACACACCTCTAGCCCCATGACCTAGTTCTCAGGATTCAAATCATGCATATGTGACAAGCCCTCACCACTGGCAGAGAAGAACCAGAGAGGAAAGGGGTACATGGAGTAAATGTTAGCACCTCACCCACCTGGTACTCCACTAAGCATGGCCCAGTTCCCTTTGGGTAATGCTCTCTGAACAGGATACCTATCTCTAAGGAACTGTGCTTCCTTCTGTTCACAGGTCTGGAGAATTGAAAACCTGGAGCTGGTCCCTGTGGAACATCAGTGGCACGGCTTCTTCTATGGAGGAGACTGCTATCTGGTTCTTTATACATATGAGGTGAACGGGAAGCCAAATTACATCTTATACATCTGGCAGGTACAGGCTCTCAGCTTTGGATCCAGAAGTGCTTCCTCTGGCCACTGGGCTGGGGCAGGAAGCAGGGCCCATGGCTCCCCTCTCACTGCTGCAGGGCCGCCACGCCTCACAGGATGAGCTGGCAGCCTCAGCATACCAGGCAGTGCAGCTGGATCAGCAGTTGGACGGGGCTCCCGTGCAGGTTCGTGTCAGCATGGGGAAGGAGCCACGCCACTTCATGGCCATCTTCAAAGGGAAGCTGGTTATCTATGAGGTGAGGGGCTGTTTTAGTCAGGTTTTTCACTGCTGTGATTAAAAGACCTGACCAGCACAATTGTAGAGGAGGAAAAGGTTATTTAAGAGCTCCTAGTTTCAGAGGTCTCCATCCATAGACAGCCGGCTCCATTCCTAGAGGCTCGAGATGAGGCTGAACATCACAGCGGAAGAGTGTGGCAGAGGGAAGCAACTCACATGATGATTAGGAAGCAGACAGAGACTCCACTCTCCAGATACAAAATATATACCCCAAAGCTATGCACCCAATGCCCCACCTCCTCCAGCCACACCCCACCTGCCTCCAGTTACCACTCAGTTAATCCCTATCAGGGGATTAATTTACTGATTGGGTTAAGACTCTTACAATCCAATCTTTTCTCCTCTGAATCTTCTTGCTTTTCTCACACTTGAGCTTTTGGGGAACACCTCACATCCAAACCATAACAGAAGCTTGACTAAAGCACTACCAGGCCACATTCTAGATATCACATCTGTCTGGGGTCAAGTCCTAGTCTTGTTATTTATCAGCCAGGTTTCTAAATCTCAGTTTCCTTATCTGCACCATGGAATAATAACACCTACTTCATTACTACTTCATAGAGTTAAGAGTTATCATGAGAATTAGGATCAGCAAAGTATTAGTAAGGCCCGAATCATAGAGCCTGGTACAAAATACAACTCCTCTTCTTCTCCTTCTCCCCTCCTCCTCTTTTTTTTTTTTTTTTTTTTTTTGTGTGTGTATGTGTGTGTATGGTACTGGGGATTGAACCAAGGGCTCTCAACAACTGAGCTGCATCCCCTACCCCTTTTTATTTTATTTTTGTCAGTATTGGGGATTGAGCCCAAGGAATACTATACCACTGAGCTACATCTTCAGCCCTTTTATTTTTTGAGACAGGGTCTCACTAACCACAACCAGTGACAAAGCCTTATTCTTTTATTTTTTTTAACATTTATTTATACCTTTATTTTATTTATTCATTTTTATGTGGTGCCAAGGATCAAACTCAATGCCTCACACATGCAAGGCAAGTGCTCTACCACTGAGCCACAACCACAGCCCCCAAAGCCTTATGCTTTATAAAAAAAACAATGAAAGCTAATATTATTGTGCCACAGCCCAGCTCACCCTAACCCTTTCCTATTAGTCTAGAAGTTCTAGAAAGACTAGCATCAAATACATCCACATTTCCCACAACAGCCAGCCTAATGCAAAATTCCGGACTTTCCCTTTCCTCTTTGCTCTAGGGTGGGACTTCCAGGAAAGGAAATACCGAGCCTGACCCTCCAGTAAGACTCTTCCAGATTCGAGGAAATGACAAATCTAACACCAAAGCAGTGGAGGTTCCAGCCTTCGCCTCCTCCTTAAACTCCAATGATGTCTTTCTGCTAAAGACCCAGGCAGAGCACTACCTATGGTATGGCAAGGTAGGATGGCTGGGCCCAGTGGTCAGGCCAGTCCCTTGGAGCCCAGCCTTGCTGTGGCCTTGATCCTAGGTCAGCAAGGTCAAAGGAACTAAAAAGTCGACTGGTGTGGTGCTCAAAAGGGGGATCCTTTTCCCTAAAGAAACTTCAAAGGAAGCACCAACATTCCCCATAGTCAGGCCTTCACCAGAAAATCATGGATAGCCCGGCTTACATCCAAGAGACATTCCATAACTACAAACATGATGAAGACTAGATAAGTCAATCTTCCCACACGAGTTTGCTGACCTATAACAGGAAAGATGCTAACAGAACAACAACAAAAAATGATGTTGTCATAATTCATATTGCATTAGTTCCTTAAAAAGCACTGAAATTGGGGCTGGGGATATAGTCTAGGTAGAGTGCTTGCCTAGCATGCATAAAACCCTGGGTTTGATTCCCAGCTCCACCAGAAAAAAAAAAAAAAAAAAAAAAAACTGTAATCGTTTTACACAGAAATGAAGTTGGGTATGGTGGCAAGCATCTGTAATCCCAGCTATCATGGCTACTTGGGAGGCCATGGCAGAAGCATCACAGAGGAAGTGGAAGTTGGAAATCAATCTGGGTAACTTAAGGATACCCTGTCTCAAAAAAAAAAAAAAAAAAAAAAGGCTGGGGCTATGGCTCAGTGATAAAGTATCCTTGGGTTCAATCCCTAGCACCAAAAAAAAAAATTTATCTGAAAATGGTTGTAGGTGCTAAAAATTCCAGCTGAAGCTGAAATAAAGGTGACTGTTACTCTTGTCTATATCCACTGCAGGTTTCAGAGTGCAGCCCTGTTCTTTGCCCGCACATTCTGTCTTCCTTCTTCTCTTCCCACCACTAGAACAAACCTGTCTTCCCTTATCCTGAGGCACTGTGTCTTGGCATCTAATCCTGATTACACCGAGTTAGTCTTGAAACTTCTCTGTCCACATCAATGTGTCCACATGTGAGTAACATCTGTGCCTTCCTTGCCCGACTCTCAGGGATCTAGTGGAGATGAGCGGGCAATGGCTAAAGAGCTGGCCAGTCTTCTCTGTGATGGCACTGAGGAAACTGTGGCAGAGGGCCAGGAATCAGCTGAGTTCTGGGACCTACTGGGAGGTAAAACTCCCTATGCCAATGACAAAAGGTATGGGAATACAGTATTCTCCTCTTCTTGGCTCCCCCTGCCTCCAAGCTTGTGAACTGCACAAACTCTTAAGATCTCTTTCAGATTTAAAAACATGATTTCTATGTTACATCAGTGCCTCTAAATGGACTGTGTTGTAGACTTCAGCAGGAAACCCTAGATGTCCAATCCCGTCTCTTTGAATGTTCTAATAAGACTGGCCGGTTCATTGTCACTGAAATCACAGACTTCACCCAGGATGACCTGAACCCAGGTGATGTGATGCTCCTGGATACCTGGGATCAGGTAAGACACAGCTACAGAACTCTGAACAAATAACAAGGATGCCCACAGTTTAGGTTATTTTTGTATATGTCGACACTCAGAATAGGCCCTGGATAACCCTATATCATCCCCAAGTCAACATGTGTTAGTAGAAACCAAAGAAAGAGCCTGCTTTTTGCCATGGTCACAAAGTACAGAAAGATGGTTAAAATCACCTTGGAAATTTTCCCACCTTGCTTTGGGAAAATCTGGTCATCACATCATCCTGCCCTTCTTTAATCTTAGGATCAATAGCAACAGATTCCAAATCCAGATAATGTGGACCTTTTAGGGAACCAAAGGGTATGGATGGATATTTTCAAGGCAACCCCTCCTCCACATACCATGTTCTTCTGTTCAGCTCGGCAAACACTTTGAGCACCTCCTCCATGCCTAGTCATTGTACCAGGTGGGTGTCATCAAGATAAAGGGCTCCACTCTCAGAGTTTACAAGCTGGTGGGAGGAGCCAGAGAAATATCATTGAGCCATGATGAGGAGCCACAGAAACACAAATTAAGGGCACTAAATACAGTTTAAGGGTGCTAAGAAGACTTCCTAGAAGAGATAACTCTCAGGATGAAACTCAACGGATGAGCAGGCAAAGGATGGAGAAGCCTTGTGGGAAAAGAAAATTGCACATGTAAAAGCAAGACATGAAATATTATCAGAACATAAGCTAGAGTTAAGGACCACCTTAGAAATGAAGCTGAAAAAGTAGGTATGGGCCTGACCTACCATGTCAAGAAGTTTATCCTGAAGTTTAAGCAGGTAAGTGACATAGTCAGATTACACTTTAGAGAGCTCACTCCTGTAAGTTCCAGTTAGAAGTAGATGAGGGTCAAGTAAGAACTACTGTGGGTCTGCAGAGGGCAATGGAGTAGGGATAGAAGAATGACAAATTTGACAAAGGCAGAGGAAGTCTAGTTGACCAGCACTGGTGACTCACTGGATATGGAGTATTTTTTGGACATGCCTCCCAGAATTCTGCCCTAGATGAATGGATGAATACCATTTACTTAGAGTGGAGATACACATTTAAAAAAGAGAAACTATATTTTAGGAGGGTTTTATTTGAGATAGTTGGAGACGGCCAAGAGGAGAAGTTTTGCAAGTTAGAGTTAGGAAGCTGAGGTTCAGAGAGAGCTCAGATTTGGTGATGTAGATTTGGGAGATACACATAGCAATTAAAACCAAAAATATCAAGCTGATTCTGGGAAAACCTTTCTCTCTGCTGAACAAATCAGGCTGAGACATTTTCTGAGGCTGTAAATTACTGAGGGGGATAGATACATGATCTAGTACTTAGTCCTTGGTCTGACCTCATTAACAAATATTAAATCTGTACCACAACAGGTGTTCTTGTGGATTGGAGCTGAGGCCAATGCCATAGAGAAGGAGAGGGCCCTTGCTACTGCCCAGGAGTACCTGCACACTCACCCCAGTGGCCGAGACATCCATACACCCATCCTGATCATCAAACAGGGTTCTGAGCCTCCCACCTTTACAGGCTGGTTCCTGGCCTGGGACCCTCACATTTGGAGCGTAAGAACAGAGATTGGGGAAGTTATTTTGTTCTTACAGTTAGAGAGCTCAGAAATAAGAGGAGATGGGGTATACAGATTTAGGAGCCAAGTAAAACCAAGGACCTTATTTCTCCCATTCCCACTCCAATCCCTGCTTTTTACTTTTCTTCTCTTCCCCTTCACCACCATAGCAGTAAGTTCCGTTAGAGCATTCACAGCTTGACTCGGCAGTAGGCACTGTGAAGTAATACAGTTTATAAAGTGTATTTACACACATCAACTTTCTGATCTTTATAAACTATTCTGATAGAGCAGGTATTGTGTTTCCTATGTTACAGATGAAGGCACTCAGAGGACAAGTTCAAAGTCATAGTCAATAAGAAGAAGTCAGGCTTACTAACTCATTCAACTGCTCTTTCTTAAATCTTACAGGGGGCATTGAAGGAATACTTTCAAAGAATGTAAATTAAAGAATCTTTGTAGCCTGCACGGATCCAAACCAAAATTTTTGGTCTTACTTATGTATTATCTGATTCTCCAGACTTTTTGCTTTTCCTGAAGGTACAGACCAGGCCTAAGATGTTTCTCCCCTATCAGCAATATCGCTTCCTGTGTTTTCTCTCTCTTCTCAGGCTGGAAAATCATATGAACAGTTAAAGGAGGAGCTGGGAGATGCTGCTACTATCATGCAAATCACTTCTGTGAGTTGGGTTTGCTCTTGAAGAAGCCCCAGAGCCAAAGAAAAAAGCAAATGCTAGTGGTCAAAGCTCTACCATGTCTTTCTTAGTATTGCCCTAGTTGTCTATCCTTGACCAAGAGTGTTTTGTTTTGTTTTATTTCAATAGTGGGGTTTGGACTCAGGGCTTGATACATACCAGGCAAGTGCTCTACCAGGAGCAACCCCAAGATATTTATTTATTTATTTATTTATGCAGTACTGGGGATTGAACCTAGGGATACTTCACCACTGAGCTAAATACCCAGCCCTTTTCATTTTTTAAATTTTGAGACAGAGTCTTACTGAGTTGCTGAGGTTGGCCTTGAACTTGCAATCCTCCTACCTCAAGCCTCCTGAGTTGCTTGGGATTACAGGCCTTTGCCTCTGAGCCTGGCGCCAAGATTTTTTCAGTTGACTGAAAAACAGATCTCAGACCTAAATTCTTTATCTTTCTGCCTTCCAGAACTTTGAATAGACTTGCTGTTTAAAAAAGAACAATAAAAAAATAAAACTAATTTTATTTTATTATTTGCCTCTCTGCCATTTAGGAGAGATTAAAGTTATTGGCAGTTTTGGTGAATAAATTTCTCATTCAAATTATATTTTTATCAGTTTCTGACAGTTAAGCCCACAGAATCGCAGGTCATTTACCACTGTTTTAACAGATAAAAGAAGTGGAGCCTCTAGTCAGGAATCCAACAGCTCTTTAATATCAGGATGATTGGTTGGGCAAGTAGATGCACACCTATAATCCAAGGAAGTCGGGAGGCTAAGGCAGGAAGATCAGAAGTTCAAGGCCAGCCTAGGCAACTTAGTAAGACCATGTCTCAAAGTAAAAAATAAAAACAACTGAGAGGAAAATAATGAAAGAAAAAAAAAAACTGGGGATGCAGCTCAAGGGTAATGTGCCCTTAGGTTCAATCCCCAGTACAACACACACATCTACACACACAAAATTAGGACAAGTGTTGTATGGTACCAGGAGTTCAAATCATCTGGGAATGTTCTTTGTGCTCTACAAAGTCAAATTCCAAAGATAATGGTTATGTAGAGTCTTTTAAATTGTTTTTAAGAAAAATAAGACTTCCATCTGAAGGCATTTAAGCCAGGCATACTGAAGCAAGCCTGTAAATTCCAGAAGCTCAGGAAGCTGAGACAAGAGCATCACAAGTTTGAGGCCAGCCTCAGCAACTTATCAAGGCTCCATGCAACTTAGTGAGTCCCTATCTCAAAATAAAAAAATAAAAAGGACTGGGGATGTGATTAAGTCCCCAGTACAAAAAAAAAAAAAAAAATTACTGGAAATGTAGGACCTAAATAAAAGAGTCAAGGAAAGGTATGTTACCATAACATTTAAAAGAGCCTTAGGGCCGGAGTTTTAAATCAGTGGTAAAGTATTTGCCTAGCACACACTAGGCTCTGGGTAGGATCTCATTATTATTTTTAGGTACCTAAAAATAATAATAAAAGAGACTTAAAATACAGCATGTATTCCAAACTGGCTATGAGGACTCACCTTAGGCTTAGTGAATCAACTTTCCCAAGAAGAATCCAAACTCTGAATATTTTTGATTCCCAGATGACTTTGACATGCAGCCAAGTTTGAGAACAAAGATGACTATGAAGGATGAAGTGGTATAAAACAAAATGTTAAATATTATATACATGCAAAACTGTGATTGCCAGACACTGTACTGAATAGTCTTTTCCCATGTCTATACTTTTATACCTAGGACATGAAAAATGCAACCCTTTCCCTGAATTCTGCTGGCAGTGAGCCAAAATATTACCCTATAGAAGTTCTATTGAAAAATCAGAATCAGGAGCTTCCTGAGGATGTGAACCCTGCCAAAAAGGAGGTGAGTGGCTAAAGGAACTGGGATAAGTGGAGCTGTCAGTAAAGCACCCATCTCAGTAATGGCCTAGTAATGGCACATTGTAGGCACTCAGTGGACACTGGAGCTACCCAGTGGCTCAAACCAAGAGCTCCTTCTTGATTGTTTTTCTCACCTCTCACATGAATCTATCAGTTAGCCTCTGTTACTCCTCTCCATCTATCTGCCACTGATTTAATCTAGCCATCATGTACTACTGTAATCCAAATGATTTCTACCTCATCCCTATAATTTGTTCTCCACATGGCCATTATAGTAGCCAAAGGGATCTTTTTTGCAATATTGAGAATTAAACCCAGGGCATCACTCATGCTAGGTGAGTGTTTTACCACTGAGCAATATCCCTGGTAGTTTTTTAAATTTTATTTTTGAGACAAAGCCTTGCTAAATTGCCCAGGCTGGCCTGGAACTTGTCATCCTTCTGCCTTAGCCTCCTGGGTAGTTGGGATTACAGGAGTATACCATTGTACCTGGCTATCAAAGGGACCTTTTAAAGCAGATGCCTACTGTCCTGTTTGAAACAGCTCAAATAGCTCCTCACTGAAGGTCTACATAATCCAGGCTCCATCACCCTCTGGGATTTTCATCACTACCCTCTTATTACCCTTAAACATGCTCATCCCAGCCTTGGAGACTTTACACTTCCTAGTGCTCCTGCCTAAACAAATGTTCTCTCAGACAGTCACAAAGCCAGCTCCTTCCCACTGGCTCAGCTCAAACATCACCACCCCAGGAAAGCCTTCCTTAACCACCCCATCAAACACTGCTTCCCTCATCCCCTCCAGTCCCCTTAAATTTGTTCATTGTCTATATTCCCCACTAGTAATATCCTTAGGAGGAAGGACCTTCTCTGTCCTGTTTGCCATCATATTTTCATTGTTTTGTGTAGTTCTGGTACAGGGGATTGAATTCAGGGTTGTTTAACCACTGACACACATCCTTAGCCTTTTTTAATATTTTATTTTGAGACAGGATCTCATTGATTTGCTTAGAGCCTCGCTAAGTTTCTGAGACTGGCTTTGAACTTGTGATCCTCCTGTCTCAGCCTCCTGAGCCACTAGGATTACAAGTGTACATCACCATGCCCAGTCATATTCCCATCTTTTCAACTCCTAAAAAGATGCCTATGAGATAGGATAAGTTTTGGATGAATGAATTAACATGTTCATGTTGAATTAATTAAATACCCCTTGGAAGAGTTGATTTGGGAAAGGGCTTTGGATTTATTACAATGTCCTAACTAAGTCTTAAGTATCTGGACTACAACATTTTTGAAAGTAGAGGCCGCATATTAATAAGCTTTACTTGGATACAAAATAATCATTACATCAATAAATAAATGTTAGGAGAACTATAGGGTCTCAGTAAGATCCCCTTGAAATATTCTGGGAGTCTGAGGATGTAGCTTATCGGTAGAGCACACGCTTAGCATGCATCAGGCCCTGAGTTCAATCCCCAGCACCAAAAACCAAAGTTGATTAAGTCTGGGCCTAGTGGTGTACTACTGTAATCCCAGGGACTTGAAAGGCTGAGGCAGGAAGATCACCAGGATGAAGGCCAGCCTAAGCCACTTAATAAGACCCTATCTCAAAAATATGCCTGGGGCTATAGCTCAATGGTAAAATACCCTTGGGTTCAATCCCTAGTAAGCCCCTCCCTCCCAAAAAAGGGTAGTTAAGGACATTAGTATAAGGAAAAGCACCACTCAGTTTAGTTGTCCATTCCTTCAAAATCTAATCTCTATAATTTATCCATTTTTTAAAAATATTTATTTTGTAGTTTTCAGTGGACACAACATCTTTATTTTTATGTGGTGCTGAGGACCGAACCCAGTGCCCCATGCATGCCAGGCGAGCGCATTACCGCTTGAGCCACATCCCCAGCCCCTATAATTTATCCATTTTATATAATCCATTTACTGTCTTTCAGGAAAGAAACTGGGATCATGAGAGCAGGGAATCCAGTCAGTTTCTTCCACAGGCCACCTTGGGGATCCACTACCTGAAGAACAATTTGACCTTGAATAATTTAAGTCTAGTATAGCCTTCCTAACAATTCATTCTACTTCTCCCTCCAAGGATCTACATAGGCCTCCCTCTTGCCCCTACTCTTCCCCCTCTGTTGGCACCAATAGGTACCATATCTTCCTACTAATCAGAAACTTTGTTTTCTCTCTTAGAATTACCTCTCTGAACAGGACTTTGTGTCTGTGTTTGGCATTACAAGAGGGCAATTTACTGCTCTGCCTGGCTGGAAACAGCTCCAACTGAAGAAAGAAAAGGGGCTTTTTTAAAGCAAGAAGACCTATTAGAAGAACACAGAAGACAGTAGATAGTCCCAATGTTGGGAAAGAATTTACCTACCAACTTTTGCCTGCTACTGATTTAGACACATTTATAGAATCTGAAAATCACAGCATGTTCTCTGTTTTTTTCTCATGTATCTCTTGTTTATTATATATCTAAAACATTAACTTATACACTTTTTGGCTTTTGTGGTCTTCTGGCTAAAGCCTTAGCAGAAAATACTAAAACTGCATGAATTTAGAGAAGCCAAGAGAAAGAGAATCAAAAACTAATCTTAAAATATATAACACCATGCAAAGCCCTACATTTGCTTTAAATTTTAAGATCAGTACTTCTGAAGTCTACTCAACCCACAAAGCATTGAAGTTATTTGCACATATATCTCAGGGTCAAAATCCAAAGGCTCAGATCCATTACATGCCACAGCATTTTTAACTTTTCAAATAAAAATAACCTGTATAAGCAAATGGAGTTCTTTTCTGTATTTGGGTGCTTGTTATGGTAATTTTATATTATGTTGGGAAAATGTTTTAGTACTGGGAAAGTAAAGAGACAGTGTTGATTGAACTCTCTCAACAACTGGACCACTGTAATAACTGTCATTAGTACAAGAATGTCAAAATCTGACTTGCATGCAGATGTGTAGCACACACTGTAATCCCACTAACTAAGGAGGTTTGAGGATAACAACTTTGAGGCCAGACTGGACAATTTAGGAAGATCATGTCTCAAAATATAATAATTTTTTAAAAGAACTGGGATGTAGCTCAGTGGCAGAGTGCTTGCCTAGCATGTGTAAGGCCCTGTGTTTAATCCCCATTACCACATCCAAAATAATATTAAAATTAAAATAAAAAAATAAGCCAGGTGTGGTGGCACACGCCTGTAATCCCAGTGGCTTGGGAGACTGAGGCAGGAGGATAGCGAGTTCAAAGCCAGCAATGGCAAGGCATTAAGCAACTCAGTAGACACTGTCTCTAAATAAAATACAAAAAAAAAATAGGGCTGGGGATGTGGCTCACTGGTCAAGTGCCCTGAATTCAATCCCAATACCCCCCAAAATAAAATAATAAACAGCTAAACCCAGCAGGGAGTGGTGGCACACGCCTGATCCCAGTGGTTCAGAAGATGGATCACAAGTTTAAGGCCAGCCTTAGCAATTTAGCAAGACTTTAAGCAACTTAGACCTTGTCTCAAAATTTAAAAAAAAAAAAGGGCTGGGGATGTGGCCCAGTGGTTAAGTGTTCCTGGGTCCAATCCCCCAAGTATTATGCAAACAAGGAAAATCCAGTAGCATGCAAACAAGGAAAAAATATTATTTATTAACTTTACCCCATGAACTATATAATTTCATTAAAAATTCAGTTGACAAATTCTGGGTTTAAAGAGGCTTGGGCAATTTCTTCTTTTTGCTATGATGTCCAGAAATAAAAATAAACATTTTCTCCTAAGCCAAAAGTGTCTAGAACCTATTCAGCCTCTGTTGCCTCTTCAAGTTCTCCACATTCAAACCGCACAAAGTCTACTACAGAAACCCCATGGGGCTGCACGTACTGTCCCAATGTGATAGAGGGATCCAGCAAGTATGGTTGGGACAGCATCTTGGTCTCTGCCTCTCCCCCAGGTTCATCATCCAGGGAGCCAACAGAGAGAGGAGCCATGCCCACCACATGCTGCCCAAGGCGGCGGCCAAGGTCTTCAAGGTTTGCTTTCTGTTCAGATGTCTCACAGATGACCAGGGCCCCATACTTCCCCAGCACCAGGTTGTGGAGCGAGGGACTGTGCATTGCTCCATGGACATAAGAGCCAACGTAGAACCCAGATGGCACCTTCACCCACGCAGCTCGTTTAAGAGTCATGTTTTCTCCAAGTTTCCCTATTAAAAACAAACAAACAAATAAACAAACAAAAAACAACACATCACCAGAATATGATACCTGTGGTGATACTAATGTTTATGCACAAAGAGTCTAAATTTGGAAGGTGATCCTTCCTCAAAGATATATAATTTTCAGTTTTGTTTAAAGAGGAACAGGGGCATGGTAGGGGCGTACTTGAAGAAGCATTATGTGATAGGTATTCTAGTATTTAAAACAGAGGCTATGGTGTCACAGACACAGGTCTTAGTTCTATCTCTTGCTAGCTATATGACCTTGGGCAAGAGACTTAATGACATAACCCTATTTACTAATTTATCAAGCCTTAGTTTCCTGGTCTATAAACCTTCAGGGTTATAGAGAGAAATAAATAAGGTGATATATGTAAAAGTATTTTATTATTGTAACTGGCACATAGTGAGCACTTAAAGGCTAGCTATTATTAATACATTAAACTTAGGTTTAGACTAGTGCTTAAGTAACCCACCCAACAGTACATGGCAGAGCTGGAATTAAAACTGAGATCTGGGCTGTGGATATAGTTCAGTTGGTAGAGTGCTTCCCATGTATGCACAAGGTCCTGGATTGAATCCCCAGCACCACAAAAAATCAAACAAACAAACAAAAAAACACCTCAGATCTGACTCCAAAGCAAATAAGTGATTTTTCCCACTGAATTACCATCCCTACCTATAACCATAACTGACATCAACAACTCCTCATCATTCACTGTATCAGGAAAAGGTCTACAACTAAAAGTCCCAGAAAATCCAAAAGCCATGTCATCTGATAGTTTTGACTTCCTCTCCTTAAAAACAAAAGGATGACATTATCAGAGTTATGAGAACCAAAAACAGATAGCAGTTTTCTCCTTTCTCTCAGATGCCATTCTCAGAAGTCCAAATAAACCAAAAAGTAGGAAGGAGCAGGAGGATAAACAAAGTGGTCTGGATAAATATGTCTGGATTAACCACAACTAAAGCTAAAAGTTATGAAAAGGGAAAATCCAGAAACCAAAACAAATTTTAAAATATCTTAAAACATCTACCCAATTGTTAATTCTCTGAAATTGACAAGGCTGATGCACCCAGTTCTTCCAGAATTTCTTAATAAGCCCTATTTCTTAATATGTAACAGTCTGCTGGTTTCTCATCTAGGACTCACTGGAATATCATAAATACTATGATCTGATAAAAACAGAACTAACGTCTTGACTGGAAACTGCAGAGGAGCAGAAAAATCCCAGTAATTCCAATCCCAGCCCTCTTTCCTTCCTCCACTAAGGATACAGAAAACAAGCAAATCCCTGCTACTCCCACCATAATGATCTAGATTTGATTCCCAACATCAGTGAGCTCTAAAAGAACATACCTTTACAAATTCAGAACCAGATACCTTGAGATCAAATTCCTAAAAACAATGACCCTAAAAATTCCTAGAACTGTTTATAATGAAGAAAAACTTACCTTTGAAGTACTATTTTCCCTATGTTATATAAAGAGGTAGTCAATTGGAACTTAGCCACACTTTGTTTGGCTGGCACAATGATGAAAATAATTTTAGTTTGCAAACAGTTAAAAACTGAGATTTCTGCCTATAATTCTGAATTCTTTTAAGGAATCCAGTAATCACTGGAACTCCATTTACCCTAAAATATAACAGGTGGCTAGAGTTTGGTGCTAGTGCTAGCTTCAGCAGAGAAGCTCTTCAATTCAAACTGCCTATTGCTCCCTAACACCTAACACAACCTATTTCTTACATTCATATCATCTGGCTCCTGATGAAAGGCACAGGAGCTTGCAATTCTCCATGGAAATATTGGAGGAACAGCAAAGATACCAAAAGATCTAGTCATTAATTTCCAGTTTCCAGAATCCTTACAAATACTCACCTATTGCTAAGGCCAATTGATCCTTGAGAGAGTGTTCTCTGTCAGGCCCAGCTGGAAGTCCAGAAAGCTCAGAGGAATTCAGGAAGCCCTAAGTGCACAAGAAAACAAACATGAATCAGTTTTGCACTATTAAAATTATTAATAGGCACCAGGCAAGGTGCGCATACCTATAATCCCAGCAGCTTGAGAGGCTGAGGCAGGAGGATTGCAAGTTCAAAGCCAGCCTCAGCAAAAGCAACACACTAAGCAACTCAGTGAGACCCTGTCTCTAAATAAAATACAAAACAGGGTTGGGGATGTGGCTCAATGGTCTAGTGCCCCTGAATTCAATCATTGGTACCCCCCACCAAAAAAAATTATTAACAGGCAAAAATAGTCTATTTCTAAGAAAATGGTTAAGATAACTAAGCAGAAACAGATAATATTTTCATTAAGCCAAAAATGTTAAAAATTGATAACAGTTCAGGCGTGATGGCACATATCTGTAATCCCTTTTTTCGGCTTGGGAGGCGGAGGCAGGAGGATTGCGAGTTCAAAGTCAGCCTTAGCAACTTAGTGAGGCCCTGAGCAATGTAGAGAGGCCATGCTTCAAAATAAAAAATAAAAAGGAGGACTTGGGCTGTGGCTCAGTGGGTAAGTTCCCCTGGGTTCAATCCCTAGTACAAAAAAAAAAAAGTTAACAGTCTTGTTTTTATGAATTATTTTATCACTATACTATTCCCAATTCCATTCCACTCCCATCCCCTAACCTAACTTCTTAAAATATAAATTACTAAAAACCAGGCACAATATTTTCACACAAACATTAAACCTAGGAGAATTACAAATTGTTGGTGGGAATACAAAATATTCCAAATCCAATGGAAGAAAATTAGATAATAATTAACAAAATTACATATATGTTTACCTTTTGACACTGCAGTTCAGTTTCTGACATTTTTCCCCCTTTTGGTATTGGGGATTGAATCCAAGAACACTTTACCACTGAGCTACATTTCCAGCCCTTTCTTAATTTTTTAGTTTTCAGACAGAGTCTGAGTTGCTGATGCTGGCCTCAAACTTGTGATGCTCCTGCCTCTTCCTCCTGAATACATGGGATTACAGGCATGTACTGCCATGCGTGGCTGTTTCTAGGAATTTTATGATACACTTAAAACTAGACATAAGGGTTAGGAATATAGCTCAGTTGGTAGAGTGCTTGCCTAGCAGGCACAAGTCTCTGGGTCAGCACCACCCCAGCACCACCAAAAAGAAAAAAAAAACCAAAATACCTAGATATAAGTACATATGTACAAGATTATTCATTAAGCAATTATTTCTAATCATGTGGGATTTTCTTTGTTTGTTTGTTTTTTGCAATATGTAGTACTGGGAATTAAACCTGGAGTGCTCTACTACTAAGCTACATTCTAAGCCCTTTTTATTTTTATTTCGAGACAAGGTCTCACTAAGTTGCCCAAGTTGACCTCAAACTAATGATCCTCCTGGCTCAGTCTGAATTACTGGGATTATAGGCATGTGCCACCACACCCAGCTCTAATCATAAAATTTTGAAATCAGAGCTAGGTCTGATGGTGCATGACTGTAATCCCAGCAACTTTGGTGGCTGAGGCAGGAGAATAGCAGATTCCAGGCCAATTTCATCAACTTCTCAAGGCCCTAAGCAACTTAGCAAGACCCTATCTCAAAAAGGGCAGGGATCTAGTTCAGTGGTAAAGCACTCTGGGTTCAGTCCCCAGTACCAAAAAGAAAAAAAGGTGTATTTTGGAATCAGCCTCAATGCCCACAGAAGAATTGGTTAAATAAACTATGGCATATCCATACAACAAACTGCTATGCAGTTGGAAAAAAAAAGAAACAGAAAGATCTCCAGGAGCTGCTATAGAGTATTTCTAGGATATATTATTAGTGATAAAAGCAGATTAAAAGTATATATAATTCCAGGATTACACTTGTAATCCCAATGATTCAGGAGGCTGAGGCAGAAGGATCACAAATTCAAGGCCAAGACTAGGGATGTAACTCAGTGGTAGAGCACTTGCCTACCATGCATATGGCCCTGAGTTCAATTCCTAGCACTGCAAAAACAAACAAAAAAAAACAGGAAAACCAGTTCAAGGCCAGCTTCAGCAACTTAGAGAGGCCCTAAACAATCTAGCAAGACCCTGTCTCAAAATAATTTTTTAAAAAGCACCAGGGCTATAGCTCAGTGATAAAGTACCACTGGGTTCAATCCCCAAGTACCAATAAACAAATAAAAGTATACATAGATGGGCCTGGTGGTGCATGTCTGTAATCCCAGCAACTCAGGAGGCTAAAACAGAAGGATCACAAATTCAAGGTCAGCCTAAGCAACTTAGCAAGGCCCTCAGCAACCTAGTGAGAGCCTATCTCAGAATTAAAAATAAAAAGGGTTGAGCTCAGTGGTAAAGCACCCCTGGTTCAATCCCCAGTACCAAAAAAGGAAAGGATATATACACATTATATCGTCATTGTAAGAAATATCTGTGGGGGGGGGGGGGGAAAAAAAAAAAAAAAAAAAAGGGGAAATAAAACTCAGTTGTAAAACACCCCTGGATTAAATCCTAGTATAAAAAAAAAAAAAAAAGGTGGTGGGGACCACTTACCCTTTATAATGTCCTGGGTTCAATCCCCAGCACCCAAATAATAATAAATGCAACACAGTTTTCATATAATATACATTTTTTTTTGGTACCAGGGACTGAACCCGGAGGTGTTTAACCACTAAGCCACATCTCTAGCCCTTTTTTATTTATTTTGAGATAGGATCTCACTAAGTTGCTTAAGGCCTCACTAAGTTTCTGAGACAAGGTTTGAATTTATGATCATCTTGTTTCAGCCTCCTGAGCCACTGGATTACAGGTATGCATCACTAAGACTGGCTAAATGACATTTTTTTTTTTTTGGTGGTGCTGACGACTGAACCCAGGGCCTTGTGCCTGCAAGGCAAGCACTCTACCAACTGAGCTATATCTTCAGCCCAAATAGGACTTTTTAATTAGTGCTGTAACAATTAACATTTACCACACAATCTCAAGAGAAGGAAAAATAAGAAAGAAATGATAATGAACACACAAAAAAAATGTAATTGAATGGTTGGGTCATTTTTGTCTTGACAATAATACTGAATCAAAGGCAGACTGATTAATTCATTCCTTTACCCTTCTATGAATCAGAATATGTTTACTCTCCCAAATTGTGCTTCTTCCAATCTCCCCACTTGGAAACACTTTCCTCAGGGCATTCCAGATTTCTGAATAGGAAGCCTCAGATGGTTTTGCTTAATTTGAGTGATCCCATCCAATGGACATTCATTCATTCATTCAACAAAGGTTTACTAAGCTCCAATTGAATGCTGCCCCCACTTCTCTTTCACCAAAGATATAGCAGTGAAAAAACAAATTCATGAAGCTTACATTCTATGGGGGGAGACAGACAATATATAAGTAGATAAATGTAACATATGGGCACTATAATAAAAAAATTTTAAATAAGGCAGATAAGGAGAAAGAAAAACAAAAGGGAAATACACCTCCCCCAAAGAGATAATATATAAGCAGCAATGTGAAGCAAGAGAGTGAAATCAGAGAGTTTGGGGTAGTGGGGGTAAAAAAACAGAAAAACAGCAGGGGCTGGAGGATTAGTACAGTGGTAGAGCACATACTTAGCATGCACAAGACCCTAAATTCCATCCCCAACACCAAAACAGGAACAAATGCAGCATGCTGAAGACAACCTCCAAACTCACTTTACTGTACGTGGAGAGTTGATCCTTTAGGCTCTGACAATGCAACATGGTTCCCAGGGCTACCTGCTGGACCAACTGTTGAAATTTTAAATTTCTGGAAACAAAATCTGTCTCACAGTTTACCTGTAAGGATAAATGATGTTGTATAAGTTGTTTACTGATTGTTTCTAAAAGTGCCCTAAGGTTGTGCAGTAAACCAAGATGTTGATAGAATCAGCTTCAGACTCAGCAAAAATAAATGACTCCAGAGTTTTAAAGCTTCAGTTCCTCTTTTGCTTGAGGCCAGAAACTAATGAAGTGATTCTTTCTGTTCCAATGAATTAGCACGAACATACACATTCAGAGGGGGTTCCATATGTTGTGAAGGGCTCACTACAAGTTGACCACTTGCCTATGGCTGCACACCATAAACACCTCATTTCTCCAGCCTCCTTCAATTCCAAACCACATTTGCTATCACCCTGCTTATCCCCTTCTCTTACTCTAAACTAATTACACCTACTTCTTTTCACTAGGTAAGGCCCCCAAACCTCCTCTAAAACAGATACTCTCTACTATCAACTAATTAATATAGTTACTACTTTAAAATATAAATTTTCAGGAAATAATGACAAGGTACAGACTGCACTAGACTCACAGTTAGGACTAATATTCTAGAATATTAGGACTAATATTCTAGACCACACCTGTGCATTTCTATACTTAAATGAGTCCATAGCTAATAACTAAGGTCTCTAAAGTTTAATTCCAACTACCCTTTATGATTCTCAAACAAATTTCTTATTTTAGAATGCAAAAGGTCAACTATAAGCCTTACACTGAAGGACCATCTATTCTTGATATGTGAAATTCCAACAACTTACCTCTACTAATACAGTAGTATTTCCTTCTTGCAGCAGCCCAATCAGTCCTTCTTTAGTCTTTCTCCCACTGAGCTTGGTAGCTTTGCTCCAGCCCTCCTTCTGGGCCTGCTTGTGAAGCCAGATCTCTGCCTATAAATTGGAAAGAAGAAGGGCAGATGATGAAGTCACAGAATTTATACTGAATGATGTTCTAAAATATGTTCAATTCCCTGATGCTTTCTGCTTCCCCTAAATTCTATAATTCTAGTGGCAGTACACCACTAAATGCTGAGTATAGATTGCAGAAACTGGTGCTCTGGACAACTTTAATCTTCACAACAACCCTATGGAGGAAATGGTATTATTTTCATTATATAGACAAGAATGACTCAACTATGGGGGCTGTGCCAGTGACTCAGTGATAGAGTGCTCATCTAGCAGGGTCTGACTCCTGAGTGCACACAGGTCCCTGCGGCAGAAAACACCAAGCAGTTTCGCATGATATAGGGTTCGTTAACCCTGGGTCAATTTCTCCCCACTAACACAGGCTGAGGTGGTTGTTTAAGCCAGAATTCCATCTAGGTTTCTGCCGTTATGGGCCACTGGTCATCAGGTCTCACCTACGCTCCCCAGTATCACCTCTCCAGACTAAAGTTGGACCCTAGTACCCTACACTGCATCCCCTTCCAACCTTTTTGAGATCTCCACCACAAGTTTCCAGAGCTTTCTTGCAATTTACAAAGGAGTAGCCTGTTTTCTGCCGCAGCTTCATAAGGAGCTCCTTGCTGGAAGAAGAGGCAGACAACCAGGACGCAGCGTGAATGGTGTACCGTGGCTGGGGCGACTGAAGCTGAAGAGACCCGGCCTGGAGAGGGTAAGAAGACAGGGATGAGAAGCCAGAAGCAGCTAAGAGACGGGGAGGGGAGCACTTCAGCTCCGAGGCAGCCTTAGGGCTGGGGAGACGAGGACAGGGCAGCGACTGAAGCTGGACACAGAAGAGTCAATGCCAGTGGAGGAGGTGGAACCGAGTTGAATGCGGGTCGGGATAAGGGAAGGGGTGCGCTCGGGACGCACAGGAAAACTACAAGGAAGGCAATGTGAGCATCGGGCCAGGTGTCCTCACCGGGAAACTCCCGGTCCGCGCGTCCAGGAACAAGCGCAGCGACCGCAGCAGGGACATCTCGCCAGCTACGGCTCACTCCCGCCCGCTGACGTACGAGCCAAACGACCGACTACGACGTGGCGGGAGGGTCAAAATTCTTCCCCAGAACGTGGCAAACAAGAGTGGCTCCACCTGCTGGCAAGAGGAACACAGTCGCCTCCATTCAGCTTAAATTTATGGAGACAGCATAGATTCAGACACTTCACAGGGAGTTACCCGCGACAGGAAAAATAAGAAAAATCAAAGGATAAAGTTGTCACAAAATAATAATGTAAGACGAATGGTTGACACTTGTTTTTTTTTATTTCCAATGTAGCTTCACATTCATTATCCACTTATGACTCAAGACAAACTCCCTGAGGCAGGTAGATGGGTAGAGTCCCTCCAATAAACTTAGCAAGTATTTGTTAAATCAGCAAAATATCTGTGGAACACTTGTGTGCCAGGAACTGTGCTAACCTTCGGGGAATTAGACATGAATAAACGAACCACAGCTCTACCCTCCCAGGAAATCCCACAGTGAGAAAACAAGGATAAGACAAATGTTCACACAAGTCAGAGTAAGGTCCCATAAGAGGTTAAAGGATCTCAGAGGGAAAAAATCGCATTCAAACAGGAGCTGAAAAGCTTTTTTTCAGGAAAGAGGCAAAAAGCAAGATTTTTTGACAGGTAGCAATAGCCCTTCCAGGCAGGGAATCATCATAAAGATAGAAGAAGTCAGGAACTCTTATATGGATTTAGAGAACAAAGAGTAGACCTTTTACAATCTGGTCAGAGGCCCAATACGTGTAGGAAAAGAATGGAAAATGAAAGAGAGAGGTAATTTGGGATTAGATGGAAGTACTAAGCAGAGGAGCTTGTTCTTGCTTCTACAAGCAGTGGAAGCTAATCAGAGCTGATTTGGAAGATTCCAAGTTTGCAGACTGGCTCCAAGGCGAGAGAAGGTGGCAGAGGGTCCAGAAGAGGTGACTATGTGCCTAAGCAATAAGAGATCCTGGACCAGAGAAGCTAGCATGAGAGGAGAGAAAAACTGAAGCAAACACATTAGAAAAGAATGACTAATGGAGCTTAGAAAGGAAAACCAAAGGTGAGAAGAATCTAGCACTTAGTCCATGTTCTGCACTGCACTATGTTCTGATATCAGGAATCCAGCTCTGAAAAGGAAAAAGAAGCTATAGCCCAAAAGACAGCTCTGCTGCTTTTCCCCAGCTTCAGGATTGGGAGGACCTGACCCTGTTAGAGCCATGACCCTACCAGATTATTGTTGGGGTGTGAGGGGGTACTCCATAAATTTTAGATTTGGGGGTTTGGGTTTTTTTTTAAGTTGTAGATGGACACAATATCTTTCCTTATTTATATTTATGTGGTACTGAGTTTTGAACCCAGTGCCTCATGCATGCAAGGCAAGTGATCTACCATTGAGCTATAAACCCAGTCCCAAAGATTTGGGGTTTTGTTTTTGGTACTGGGGCACTTTACCACTGAGCTACATCCCTAGCCCTTTCTATTTTTTATTATTTTTTTAAATTATTATTCTTTTTTGGGTGTACCAGGGATTGAACTCAGAGGCACTGAGCCACATCCCCAGGCCTATTTTGTATTTTATTTAGAGACAGGATCTCATTGAGTTGCTTAGTTCCTCGATTTTGCTGAGGCTGGCTTTGAACCTGCGATACCCCTGCCTCAGCCTCCCCAGTTGCTGGGATTACAGGCTTGCACCACCATGCCTGACTAGATCTTGGTTTTTTAAAAAGTCCATTCTGTATAAACAGGACTGGAAGTCATCTGTGACAGTCTCACTGTTCTCATATCTTATTTACCTTCTTTACTTCTAAATATCCCAGGGACCCTTCCAACCTCCTTTGTGCAAAACCCCTTTACGCTCTAAAAGCCAATCCTTCTAGGACTCCAGAATTCTTAGCAAACAAACACCTCCCTTCATCTGTCCAAGCATAACTGCGGGAACAAAGAAGGAAGGGGGAGAGAGACACCAAGGAAATCCTTTTTTTTTTTTTTTTTTAGTCCTTGTGTTTGTGACTCTGGAGATACAGCTTTGGAGAAATGCAGTTCCTTTACTGGAATGGAATGACGTCAAGCAGGTCTTGGTTCCCTGTGCCTGGCCCTATAGATGTTGACATTCTTATCCTCATCCCGCTGGGCCAGCTCAAGTTGGAAGTGCTGGGGAAGAAGGTGCTGAAAGAAGTTCTCTGTCCCATGTTCCTCTCTCATCTTGGAGGCCAGGTAGATGGTGCCATGATGCCCACACAGATGTTGGAGGGTTCCCAGTAGCAGTGGGAAGGTGGGCTCCATGTACACGATATCAGCCCCCAGCACTATGTCATAGTCTCCAGGGAAGACATGCTGATCAATCCCCCAGGACAAGGCACAAACCTGGGCCCGGCCTCCGGCTGGCACGTTAGCCTGGACATTGCCCTTGATCTGCTCTAGGGCCACTGGCAGGTCAGTGATGGTAACATCCCCCCCTGAGAGAGAGCAAGGAGGAGAAATGCAAGTCAGAGGGACCAACCACCGGCTCCTGGTTGGAAGGTCCAGAGACCTCAATGCCTAGAGGGCAATGTCTTCACAGCCCAAAGTCCACACTTTGACTTTTAGTTGCCCTAACATCCATCTCATCGACTGCTATTCTCATTACTCCACATTCTACAACATCAACATTCCCTCTGAGCTAATCTTCAACCTCTCTGCCAAACACAACAATCAGATGTCAGCAGAAGCCTGGGCACAACTGAGCTGGAGACGGGCTATGCACCCACCCCCACTGACACAAGCCTGCCTTTAGGGATCTGGAAAGCTTCCCAGAAGACATGACCTCAGCTGAGTTCTAAAGGGCAAGCAGGAGTTAGTCAGGTGTTGCTTTTCAAGCAGAGGAGAGTGAGTATGAAGGCCTGGCAAGAGAAAAGTATGACATGTTCAAAGAAGGCTGTAACTTAAAGGTTGTAGAACAGAAAAGTGTCAAGACATGAGAAAAGAGGACCATAACATGCTAAGGAGATTCAAGTTTCATAGAGGGCAATAGGATTTAAGATGAGAAGCAGGGCTGGGCATGGGGGTGCACACCTGTAACCTCAGAGGCTTGGGAGGTTGAGGCAGAAGGATCGAAAGTTCAAAGCTAGCCTAAGCAACTTAGCAAGACCCTGTCTCTGAATAAAAATATTTTTAAAGGGCTGGTGATGTGGCTCAGTGGTTAAGTGTCCCTAGGTTCAATCCCCAATACCAAAAAAAAAAAAAGCAGGGTGAAGACCAGATTAGCATTTCAGAAAGCATTCATGCAATAAATTGAGCACCCAGAAGTGCTAAGGATACAGTGGTGAGCAAAACAAAACCTCAGCTTTCCTTGAGTTTTATTCTAGAGGTAGAAATGCACTATGTACTGCAAAATTAACTATTTAACTATAAATTAAAAATCATTATTTAACTATAATCATGATGAGTATTATGGAAAGAGATGTAGGAAGTACTAAGGATGCATTCATTCATTTTTATCATGTGCTTATATGCCAGGTGTTGAGACTACAGCAGTGAACCAGCCAGACAAGTGTCCCCTCCCTATGGAGCTTACAGTCTAGTAGCAAGAAACAGATGACAACAATTAAAAAAAAAGGAAATGCAATATACCATATGTCAAATGGTAATAAGTGTTATGGTGAAATGTCAAGCAAGAAAAGAAATAAGAAATGCTTAAGGGTCAGGACAGGGAGTGTCATTTTAAATTGGATGATTGGGGAAAGTCTCCATAAGCAGGTTATGTTTGAAAGACCTGAAGGCAGCATAAAGCAAATCACGTGGATCTCTCAGGCTAAAGTCTACCAAGTGACAGAACAGCAAGCAAAAAGACCTTGAGGTAGGACTCTGCTGCCTGATGCGAGTGAGGAACAGCGTGTCAATAGCTAGAGCAGAGAGTAAAGGGGACAATAGTAGGCACTGGATCATAGTAAGGGTCTTATAAGAAGATTGAGAAATCTGGCTTTCAAATTTCTGGGATACTGTGGAAGAATTTTAAATGGAAGAAAGGCATAAACTGATTTAATGTTTTAAGAGATGCATTTTGGTTGCTGCAATTAGAGGGCATTGGGGGATTTGAACCTGGGGTACTTTACCACTGATCTACATCCCCATCCCATTTTATTTTTTATTTTGAGACAAGTCTTGCTAAGTTGCCCAGGCTGGCCTCAAACTTAGTCCTCAAATTTAATCCTCCTGCTTTGGTCTCCCAAGTTGCTGGGATTACAGTCATGTACCACCAAATGTATTTTTAATATATTCAAATATCAAAAGAATATATTTTCTGAATATATTTTGGAGATAGAGTCCACAGGATTTGCCAACAGATTGAATATGAAATATGACAGAGAAAGAGGGAAAGTTCAGATAGTTTTCAGACATTTGACCTAACTAGAAAACCAAATTGCCATTCATCTGAACAAACAGTGCTACAGCAGGTGGTATGAATAGGAAATTATAATGTTGTTTCTGGACACTGCATAAAGATACTGAGTAGATAGTCACAAACATGAAAAGGACATTCAAAGCCACAAAGTGTTGAGAGTGCTCAGGAGGGAATGTAGTCAGAAAAAAGAAAAGGTCAAAAGATTACTACCTGAGCTCTGGGGCACTCAAATTTTTAGTTGCGAAGATGAATAGGCACTGACAAAAGAGAAGGGAAAAGTGTGCCAGTGAGGCAGGCAGAAACAGGTGTGGCACTCCAGAAAACAAAGAAAGTTTCAAGGAGGAAGTGGCAATGTCAAATGCAGAGTCGACTGAGGTGGGCTGAGAACAGACTCCTGGGTTTAACAACACAAAGTTGAAAGGGAAGCTCATAACCTTAACTAGAGCCATTGGAGTGAAAGGCATGGTGCAGTCTGAATTGGAATGGATGGAGAAAAAACATAGAAGGAGAAGAAGCAGAGACAGTGGACAATAACTCTTTTGAGGAATTTTTTTTTTAAAGCAGAGCAGAAAAAATGGCTTGGTATCTGGAGGAAGCTGTAGGATCAGAGTATTTTTTTCTGAGATAGGAGAAATTACAGTATATTTATGTATGTATGTGTATATAATAACATAAAATATGTGTAGACAGTAGACATAATTATACATAGACATAATCACATATAGAGAGAGGGGAGGAGAATAAAACCCAAAAAGAAGGAAAAATCAACAATACAGAAGATGCTTGGGGGCTGTTGCTGGAACGGTGTCTTTGAGCTGGTGGGAAAATTTAGAATCTTTAGACAAATGGAGGGTTTGACTATAGCTAGCACAGTGTGTTGATCCATGATAACAAGGCAAAAGGCAGCCAGGTGTGGTGGTGGACACCTGTAATTTCAGCCACTTGGGAGCCTGATGCAGAAGGATCACAAGTTTAAGGCCAGCCTCAGCAACTCAGTGAGACCCTGTCTCAAAATAAAATAAAAAGGGCTGAGGGTGTAGTTCATTGGTAGAGGGTCCCTGAGTTCTAGCCCTAATACCACCAAAAACAACAACAAAGCAGAAGGCAATGTATCAGACTCAGACATAGGAGAATAGATGTTGCAACAGGAACATGTGGACATTTTTTGAGAAAATACAAGCAATCAGGAGATGGGAAACAAAGTCATCAGCTGAGGGTGATGATAGTTGAAGAGGCACTCACAGTTTTGAAGAACAAGAAGGGAAGAAACAGATATTTAGGGGAGTGGAAGAATAAGCAGAAAAGGGGAAGTGTAACAGACTAGCATTTAAGACCCACCTGTCAGTGATAGCAAATTTAAAATGAGACCAATGAGTACAGATGGATATGTACTAGAAAGGCCTAAACTGGCCTGGGGTGGAATTATCAAAGAAGCTTTTCCTTGGAAGTGATAGTTGAGCTGAGCAATTAGGAATGCATATGCATTAACCGGGTAGCAAAAGGGTTTCAGACAGAAAGTGCAGCCTGTGTAAAGTCCCCAAGGAAGGGAACATCAAAGTAGGTTTGTGGAACCAACAAAAGGGCAATAGCATAAAGAGGACAGGAGGGAAAGAGAGGAACAAAAAGAAGTTGAGAGCTAGGTGCACATCTGTAATCCCAGCTCTCAGGAGGCTAAGGCAGAAGGATCACAAGTTCAAGGCCCTGTCTCAAAATAAAATAAGAGTTGGAGATTTAGCTCAGTGGTAGAACTCTTGTTCAGTACATGCAAAGCCCTGGATTCAATCACTAGTACCTCGCTGCTGAAAAAAGAAAAAAAATATGAAGAAAAAAGAGGAAGAAAGAAAAAGGCTAGAGAGAGAGGTAAGGCATCGGAGGCCATACTAAACGTATTTGTTCTATCCTGAAAACAAAAAGAACCCACTAAAAGTTTTGGCATGGGGTGGGGTGTGATTACATCTGCATTTTTTTGGTATTGGGGACTGAACTCAGGGACACTTGACCACTGAGCCACCTCCCCAGCCCTATTTTGTATTTTATTTAAAGACAGGGTCTCACTGAGTTGCTTAGTGCCTTGCTTTTGCTGAGGCTGGCTTTGAACTCATGATACTCCTGCCTCAGCCTCCCAGACTGCTGGGATTACAGGCAAGCACCACGGTGCCCAGTTCCACATTTGCATTTTGAAAGTCATTCTGACTGCTGAGTGGAGTGGGCAGAAGTCTAAGTAGGGGCAAAAAGTCAAGGTAGAAAGACTAGTATGACTATGTTGCAGCCCAAGCAAGTGGTGATGGTGGCTTGGACTGGGAAGCTATCAGTGGATATGACAATACATGAAAAAATCCAGGAGATTTTTCAGGAGATAAAATCAATAGGACTTGAATAATGATATAGGGGTGATAAACAATGACATGTGAAAGGTGATGTCTAGGTACATTGGGTGGATGGTGGTTTGATTCACCAAAATGAGGAAGCCTGAGGGAGGATCACAGAATCTAGGTTGGGTATGCCAAACTTTCGCATGGGGAAGCATGAAGGCTCTTGTGAAAAACCAGGCAAGAAATGGTAATGGCCTGAACTCAACGTGGTGGGAAGTAGAGCAGATAACTGTAGAAGAGCTAAGGACATATAATGCAAGGACTGGCTGATTACCAGGAATTCGAGGGAAAGGGAAGGAGACAAAATGACACTCATAGCTGGGTGTGGTGGCATACACTTGTAATCCCAGTGGCAAGGAAGACTGAGGCAGGAGGATTGTAAATTTAAGGCCAGACTCATCAATTTAGAGAGGCCCTAGCAATTTAGTAAGACCTACTCTCAAGATAAAAAAATAAAAAAAATATATATATATAAATATATATATTTATATTTATTTATTGATTATTATGTAGTGCTGAGGATCGAACCTGGGGCCTCGCACGTGCTATGCTGAGCCACAATCCCAGCCCAAAAAGCATCCATATAATGGGAACACTTACCTTCACTTGCTACCAGACTAGCTTCTTTTCCTTTGCTCCCTATTAAGTTGCCAAGTTAGAAATCTGAGTGTTATCTATCTATCTTTCCATCTATTTATCTATATCTTCTATCTATCTCTCTTTTCTTGGTATGGGAGATTGTACCCAGAGGCACTTAACCACTGAGCCACATCCTCAGTCCTTTTTTGTATTTTATTTAGAGACAGGGGTTGCTTAGGGCCTCACTAAATTTTTCAAGCTGATCTTGAACTTGCAATCCTGCCTCAGCTTCCCAGTCACTGGGAAGTCACTGGGATTACAGGCATGTACCACTGCTCCCTGCAGTTTCTATCTTTTTGCTTTCTGTGATTTCATGGGGGATTTGTCAATTAAAATTCCCTTTGGCATTTGGGAGGCTGAGGCAGGAGGATTGCAAATTCAAGGCTAGCCTCAGCAAGGCCCTAAGCAACTCAGTGAGACCCTGCCTCAAAATAAAAAATAAAAAAGGGCCAGGGATGTGGCTCAGTGGTTAAGTGCCCCTGGGTTCAACCCCTGATACCACTCCAAAAAAAAAAGTTTTTAGATAATTGCTTTCAGTGTAGGGTTTGTCTGTTCCTTAGATTATAAGAGACTCGTTTTTTTAGTTTTTGTTTCTTGATACAAGCAAACTTTTCCTTACCCTTTCCTTTTCCAAGTCTGCCATGCTTAATTCCTACCCCCACTTCCCAAAAACCTAAGGAATCTAACATATATTAATACATCATGAAGTCTAAAGCAGTCACAAGGTTTAATACCCACAGGTCACTTTTCTACATGATACCCCCACATATGCATTTTGACAGAAGACCACCTCCAAGCCAAAGAGGATTTTTTTTTTTTGGTCTTGTTTTTGTAATGGAGATTTAACTCAGGGGTGCTTTATTACTAAACCACATCCCCAGCCCTTTTTATTTTTATTTTTTGAGATAAGGTCTGGCTAAGTTGCTTAGGGCTTTGCTAAATTGCTAAGGCTGGCCTTACACTTGCGATCCTTCTGTCTCAGCCTCCCCAGTCACTGGGATTATAGTCATGGGCCATGCCCAAAGGGGATTTTAATTGACAAACTCCCCCATGAAATCACAGAGAGCAAAAAGATAGAAACTATCTGGATTGGTGGCACATATCTGTTACCCCAATGACTAGGGAGGCTGAGTCAGGAGGACTGCAAATTCAAGGTCAGCCTCAACAATTGAGCGAGGCCCTAAGCAACTTTAGCAAGACCATGTCTCAGAATTCAAGATAAAAAACAGAAAGGATTGAGGATGTGACTCAGTGATTAAGCACTCCTGGGTTCAATCACTGATACGCCTCCCCCCCACCACCACCACCAAAAGTAGAAACTACTTCTACAAGACCTGCCCAATTTTTATTTCTTGCCCTCAAATCAACCATCCTGGGTGCTCTGACAGCTAATTAGCGCTTTCTGTCACAGAAGAAGGCGGCGGGGGTGTGGGTGGGGGTGTCGGGTGGGAGGTTGTTAAAGAGAGGGACTGGGCTGAACCCAAAGCACTGCCCTCTCCCAAGAGTCCACGAAGTAACAATTTCTCCACATTCCCGTTCCCCTAACCCCTCCCTCCGCAATGCCAGCTCACACACCCTGCAGCGCTGCCAAGATTCCCACGATGCCGGTCCCTGCGCCCAGTTCGATCACCTTCTTGCCTCGAAAATCCACATTTTGACTCTCGAAATAGTTGCACAAGCTCAGAGCCTATGAGGGGTGGGGGAGAAAAAAGAGAGTGGCAGAGATGACTCCATAGGGAAGACTAGGAATCGAGGGTCGGTGGTACCTCCCAGGGACCCTCAACTGGCATAGCCCTTTTCTCACCGAATCCCACACGCCTGCAGCCACCCCGAGTCGTGAACCAAAATTCTGCGTGATGTTCAGTACATGCCCACAGAAACAGAACCGGCTTTTCTCGGAGTAAGAGTCGGTAAAGAGGCCGACTTCGTGAGGGAACACTGACTCCGGCTCTGATTCAGGATCCCGGCGGCAGTTCGCCATCCGGCAAGAGAGTACCCCGGAGCCAAGGCGGGTGCTCGGATCCCGGGTCCGTGGCGGAGTAGAGGTTGAGGGCCGCCCCCGCACCCCCGTCTCGGTTTCCCCGTGGCATCGAGCCCCGCCTCCCGGAGTCAGCACTCCTTTCTCCAGATGGACTTCCTGGAGGTGGAATGAGGAGCTGCCCCTCCTGCCTTGGTAACCTAGTACATACCCAACAGGACCTACTTAGGAACAGACAGATGTGTGTGTGTGTGTGTGTGTGTGTGTGTGTGTGTCTCCTCGCCAGAGGGCTCGGGATCGGGGAGAGGAAAGAGAAACGTGCTTGATTCCACTGTAGGAGGCGAGGCCCCCAGATCCCTCCTACCTGTGGGGTGCACAGGTACCTGCAGCCTGGTATGGTAGTCAGACCGTGCAGAAACAACCTAAGAGAAGAGGTTGGTGTCCGGACTGGCCTTGCCAAACGGCTTAGAAACTAGCGGTGCGGAGGCCAGCTCCGGCACTCGACCCCTGAGCTCCTCCCAGCTCAGCCCAGTCGAATCTGCTCTTGGGTCTTTAAGGGGGCGGGACCTGCTTGCAGCATGCTTATGCGTCATTACCTTGCGCCTCGGCCTCGGTCTCCACGTGGATGCTGTGAAACCCGCCACCCGGCATCATGGCGGGAATCGAGACTGGAAACCCAGTGGGAGCTGAGGCCCCGCAGCCTCAGAAGCGCTACTACCGGCAACGTGCCCACTCCAACCCTATGGCGGACCACACGCTGCGCTAGTGAGGAGCCGGGCAGGGGGAGCGGAAAGAGGGCTGGAGCCTCCGAGCAGCCAGGGAGAGCAATTGTGCTGGGACTGTAGGGAGGATTGGGATGGACCCGGGAGAATCGACTGGGTGACGTCAGTTAGGGGGTGGATTGGAGAGATTTGGCTGAGGGCTGAGCTGGCCAGTTGGAAGGGGGCGTGGCGTCCTAGTAGCGGTGCCAAATCTGGGAAGAGAGTTACTGAAACTAGAGTTAAGAAGCAGGTTGTCGTTTCCATCTTTCACTTTTGTTTGCTGGGTTTAACAAAACAAAAAACCACAAAGATATACACAATCCTACACTCCTTATCTTACTCTCTCCTCGCACAGCACACAAAATAGGAGGATCTCAGTGCCTTAGGCAGTCTCTAGGAGAAGGGGAACTTGTGTCCCAGAAATGAGAGCTGCCCAGTCAGAGTCATATCAACCCCAGAAGTGGAGATGGGCAGATCAACAATTGTGGGCCTCATAATGGGCCTGTGGTTCACAATGAGAGCGAGGGGGCTTTCCATTGTGCCTCCTAGGGTCTAGTGTTACAGAATTTTGAGAAATCCTCCTCTGTATACCTCCCACCCATACACATGCAATACCACTTCTGAAAAATTGTATAACCAATCTTCTTACATGTCTTATGTCTTCTTTCCAATAGCCCTGTGAAGCCAGAGGAGATGGACTGGTCTGAGCTATATCCAGAGTTCTTCGCCCCACTCACTCAAAATCAGAGCCATGATGACCCAAAGGATAAGAAAGAAAATCGAGCTCAGGCCCAAGTGGAATTTGCAGACATAGGCTGTGGCTATGGTGGCCTGTTAGGTAACACTTGTTCTTTCTCTGGAGTGAGGAGGGGCCTAGGTTTTGCTACCTCAGCAGGTTTGATGGGGGCTACAGGTGACCTTTCCCCTTAAGACATTGGTGACATCAGTGTGGAAAGCCTCCCACCTCCCTTCTACTGTGGATGTGTGGCCTTTGCCTTGGAGAAGGGAGGGGGTTGCCTCAAATGCCTCTTAGAACCTCATTTGTTCTGTCTGGCCTCAGTCCCTACATGAGCCCCATTTTGCCTGCCAGGTGCTGGGTCATTGAACCGGTCAGCACAAGCGTCAGAGATTAGCTGCTGTGGTCAGTGATCCTGAACTGTCTTTCTCAGGGATTCCACCACTTTCCCTAACCCCCACTACACCTTCAACTAGTCACATTTTTTCTTCTCCACTCTTATGTTTTTGGGTTCCTATTATACTGTCTGTGTTGTTTCAGGTATGCATGTCAAGCCACTTCCCTAGTTTTAGATCTTCCCATACAGATAACAGCCTGATAGGGAGAAGAACATGGTACTTAGAAGTAGAAAACCTTGGTTTAAGTTCCAGCTCTACCCCTTCTTAGCTCTATGATCTTGAACATTTCTGGCCCTTAGAGTCCTCATCTTCTCAGTCTACCGTAGAATCTTATAGAAATTAAATAAGACCATGTATGAAATCACTGTGAAAATTGTAAAGGAAATTGTATATGTAACTCAGCCTTCCCATTGTAATCCTGGTGACAATTTTTGTATCTCCCCCAACTCATCCCCAGCAGAGAATAATTCATATATGTATATCATACCCATTCCTGATTTTGGTAGTTGCAGATTGAGTCCTCCTTTCTTGTGTTGACCCCTTTGAATTTCCACAAGTATGAGGTTGATGATCCCATTTCTATTTCTGTTTCCAGTGGAACTATCACCACTGTTTCCAGACACTCTGATTCTGGGTCTGGAGATACGTGTGAAGGTCTCAGACTATGTACAAGACCGGATTCGGGCACTTCGCACAGCCCCTGGAGGTGGCTTCCAGAACATTGCCTGTCTCCGTAGTAATGCCATGAAGCACCTTCCTAACTTCTTCCGCAAAGGCCAGGTGGGGAGGGGACCTGTTGGGTTAGGCTGGTAAGCAGGCCAGGCCTAGAGGCCAGGTCTCAACCTTGTTGGTGCCTATCTGTCTCACAGTTGACAAAGATGTTCTTCCTCTTTCCTGATCCACACTTCAAGCGAACAAAGCACAAGTGGCGAATCATCAGTCCCACACTGCTGGCAGAATATGCCTATGTACTAAGAGTTGGGGTGAGTTGGGAAGGAGGAGGGGTGAGTGGCTTACTTGGAATCTTCACTAAGAATTAGTTGGAAATGTATCTAGGAACTTCCATCATCACTCCCATCATTTTGCTGCTCAGTTGCATACAGCCCTTACCTAGGCTGATTTTGCCTATGCAGGGGCTGGTATATACCATAACTGATGTGCTGGAGCTACACCACTGGATGTGCACCCATTTTGAAGGGCACCCCTTGTTTGAGCGTGTGCCTCTGGAAGAGCTGGTAAGTAAAGGGCCTAGGGGAACTGTAAGGATGCAGGTCCTTTCCAGAATGCTTCTATACTCTTAGAACCCAGGTCAGGGCCAGGAGGATGGGATGGCAGTATAGGGGTTGGGGAGTCTGAAAAGTGGGCAAGGACTTATTGGACTATTCCTTCTTCCAGAGCGAAGATCCCATTATAGGACATCTAGGCACCTCAACAGAGGAGGGAAAGAAAGTTCTACGTAATGGAGGAAAGAATTTCCCAGCTATCTTCCGAAGAATACAGGATCCTGCCCTCTAGGCATTGACCTCCAATTCTACCCTGCCTGGTTACTGACTGCCTACCCTACCTTAGCTGATCCCCATCTTCCAGGGACAGGAAAGAAGATCAGGCCTCTTCCAAAGAGATTGGGCCTTCCCACCTGAGCCTGGTGGGGCTGGGAGACTGCATTCTCTCCAAAAGTTGGGGAGGTGCTGGTGTTCACAACTACCCTTCTCACTTTCTCATTCCTCCAATGCCAGCAGAAAGCACAAGTAGATAACTGGGAAGGACAAAGGACCTTGGCCAGAGGAGACATTAGGAAGGGTGTGGGGTCTTGTCCTCCTGTAGTACTCCCTGCTCCTTGTGGGGACTCTCCTTATCTGGGATGCAGAATGCAATGTCCCACTGTCTAAACTCTCAGCTCAAATCATTTGTCCACTTGTGTTTTCTTTGCAGTCCTGGGGAATAATGTGTATGCATGCTCATGCATGCCCGTGCTGCTATTTCTCGGGAAAGATTGGTGGGGGGTGTATCAGGAGCCTCCTCTCATCTTCTCCCTGCCTAAGACTTGACTGGGGCAATCTCTGCTCCCTTTATTGTTGCTGTCTCTGGAGAATCCCTGGTGGTGAGGGGGTGGAGACCCTCTCTTTTTCCATGTAAACCTTTGATTCCAGAACTTCAGAGCTGGCTGACACAGTGCCAGACACGGATAGTGAGGGGAGTGAGATGTAAGGAGCAGAGATCTAAACTATGGAGAATTCTCTTAAAAAAAAAAAAAATTAGATGTTGATGGATCTTTATTTTATTCATTTATTTATATGTGGTGCTGAGGATCAAACCCAGTGCCTCACACATACTAGGCAAGTGCTCTACCATTGAGCCACAATTCCAGCCCTAAACTATGGAGAATTTTAAAGCTAAAAGTGGAAAGGAGCAATTGCCCAGACAGCTACTCAAAAGGAGACTGAGTCCGCTAGCAATTCAGAGCATGCACTCACCCCTTGCTCATCCAACAGTCCAGAGAATTTCCAAACTTTTCTACTTTGCAAACAGTTCTTTCATTTCTGTTCCTCAAACTCCAGATTCCCATGGGTAGAAAGAGAGCACTGTCTGACCTAAGAGACCCCTCCTGAAGAAACAGATAAGGTGCCTGAAGCCATTTTAACTCATTAACCCACCTGCCTAGTATGAGTATGATACAATGGGAAAGGTAGACTTGGCTAGTGCAGGAAAATCCTGCTCATCTGCACAGAGAACATGCACCCCAACAAGCCAAAAATGTGGGGACAGTTACAGCCTTCTTTTCCTTTATGGAGAAGCTGGAGGTTGAGGAATTCCTAATGATGGCTCAATAGGGACTTGGTTTCCTGGGGAAGTGGGAATTACCCCCAAGGTTGTCTCCTGTAATCTAAATAAATACTAAATAAACTTTCCCCAGAAAAGACCTTTAGCTGTTGGATTAGGGCACTAACGACCAAGGAGAAACTGAGACAGGCCTCCCCTCCCACAAGGGTCATTGCAGCTTGAGATCCAAAAAAAAGCCACAAAATTAATCCCAGACCTGCTTACTGATCTTGAGTGCTAATCTTGAACATAGACCACTCAGGAACACGGGATTGGCTAAGAAGCTCTGAGAAGGGGTGTTGTCACTGCCTTGTCAGGGCTTAAATAGGGGTTCAGGCAAGTAGTCCAAATGCGCCAGAGAAGGGCTCTCTTTCTCGGGTTCTCTGAACTGCACCATGACCCAAACCCTCAAGTTCACCTCCGGAGTGTTCCATCGCGTCCGCTGGGCTCCTGAGTTGGGCGCCTCCGGAGGCTCCAACTCAACGCCCCGGAGCTTGGCGGACATCCCTGGCCCCTCTGTGCCTGCCTTCTTAGCTGAACTTTTCTGCAAAGGGGGACTGTCGAGACTACACGAACTGCAGGTAGGAAGGGACAAGTCTCTGTTCCTGGGGCTGGGGGAACTGGCTTTGATAACGCCAGCAAGGACGGAACATAGGACAGTTGGTGAGAATGGATGCCCATGAATTATTTAAAAAAAAAAAAAAAGGCTCGATGGGACTGGGGTCGGGGAAGGTATTTCGAGTGCAGAATCAAGGGGTTGCCCTCAGAGCTTTCTCTCTGTACAAACGTTTCCTGACCCTGTAAGATAAGAATGCCGGAAAGGTAGTGCTGGGGATCCTCCGTGCACTTTTGGCTGTAAATCTACGCGTTCACTTTCATTCGCTAGGGACTCTTTCTGAGACAGACAGCTCAGGTGGGGGAAGCTTTAGGGATTTCTCCTTGGTTTTGCCCAGATGACCAAAAAGAGGTCCTGACATGACACAAAATTCCTCCGTTTGGCCCACCACATTCAAACTTTCCAAGACGGTAGAGAAGGAGTTTCAAGCATTGGGGCCATATACTTAGCTGGGCACTCAAGAAGCTCGTGGGTCCCAAGCCTAGTTAAGTGCCCTTGGCATTGGCACAAGCCAAACTCAGTGCCCGTCCAGGGTATCCTAGTGTCTGCTGCATGGGTTTTCCCAGGTGCAGGGCGCTGCGCGCTTCGGCCCCATGTGGCTGGCCAGATTCGGGACCCTGCGCACAGTGTATTTGGCCTCCCCTGCACTCGTCGAGCAGCTCCTGAGACAAGAGGGTCCTCGGCCAGAGCGTTGCAGCTTCTCGTCCTGGGCGGAGCACCGTCGCCGCCACCAGAGGGCTTGCGGACTACTTACCGCGTGAGTCCTCTCTGCCCTCAAAGCTCATACTCCTGACAGCGAGTCCTAGTGAGTTGCAACCCAATATATGCAGAGGCTTAGAGAAAGCTCCGCTGTTTCTTGCAACCTTCCAGCATCTCGGGGTTCTCCAGTCTGTTCCATCCAAAACTCAGGTTGAACCCTGCCCTCGATCTCCACTCACTTCCTTATACTTAGAGACCAGAATCCTGGGAACCGAGGTAACAGCCGGAAAAGGCGAGGGTACAGAATCTGGATAGAATGGAAGATTATTTTGCTCAGGTTACCCGGGAACTCAGTCCTCCCCGCCCCCGGAGGAGGGGCGGGCAGAAAATGAGTAAAGAAGGTAGAAACATGGAAGATGGGCACAGGCAGGGGTAGCTTTTTTTTATCTGGAAGGAGGAGACGCAATACTTGGCCACCCCAGTCAAGCCACCTTCAGATATCCCCACCTCCCTTGTGCGCCCTCTCTCTGCACCCCTGCAGGGAAGGTGAAGAATGGCAGAAGCTCCGTAGTCTCTTGGCGCCGCTTCTCCTCCGGCCTCAAGCGGCTGCTGGCTATGCCGAAACCCTGGACAAAGTGGTCTGTGATCTTGTGCGACGACTAAGGCGCCAGAGGGGACGTGGCACCGGGCCGCCCGCCCTGGTTCGGGATGTGGCGGGAGAGTTTTACAAGTTTGGACTGGAAGGTGAGTGCCAAAACAAAATTAGGGGTAGGTGTGGGAGACACCCGGGCGATCTCCCAGTGCCCTTACAGCGCCCCCTCCTGGCCAGGCATAGCCGCGGTGCTACTGGGTTCTCGCCTGGGCTGCCTGGAGGCTGAAGTGCCCCCGGATACCGAGACTTTCATCCGCGCGGTAGGCTCGGTGTTTGTGTCTACGCTGTTAACCATGGCGATGCCCAGCTGGCTGCATCGCCTAGTGCCGGGACCTTGGGCCCGCCTCTGCCGAGACTGGGACCAGATGTTTGCGTTTGGTAAGGCACAGAAGAGGGTTGGGAATGGGGAAAAGTACAACTTCTCAGAGGAAGTGAGGCATCAGGGTGTCTTTTCCCCACGTAGCCCAGCAGCTCGTGGAGCGGCAAGAGGCCGAGGTAGCCACGATGAACCAGGGAAACCCTGAAAAGAACATGCCATCTGGGGCACACCTGACCTACTTCCTTTTCCGGGAGAAAGTGTCTGCCCAGTCCATCCTGGGGAATGTGACAGAGCTGCTACTGGCTGGAGTGGACACGGTGAGGTTCACCCTCTACCCTGAGAGACCCACTTCCGGAGTTTATCCTCCCCAATCTCTGGTGCCACTTTTCTGTTTCAGGGAATCCCCTATGGTCATGAAGGGGCTCAACTAATCCCTTGATTTAGCACATCCTTGGCCCCAGATTGCTTCATATTCTGCCGCCTCTACTAGGCCCCATATCTAACACCTAAGATGCTCTCTCCTGCCCCTTCAGGTGTCCAACACACTCTCCTGGGCTCTCTATGAGCTCTCCCGGCATCCTGAAGTCCAGAAGGCACTCCATTCTGAGATCACAGCTACCCTGGGCCCAGGCTCCTGTGCCCACCCGCAAGCCACAGTTCTGTCCCAGCTCCCCCTGCTGAAAGCTGTGGTCAAGGAAGTACTAAGGTGAGGGGGGGAGGAGAAGAGGAACTAGAGGAAAGGCTGGGGAAGCAGGGAGAAAGGAGAAAAATGGTATTCTATGGCTGGCCAAAATTGGGTTTGGAAGTTGGAGACAATGAGAAAGAGGCTATCTCCCCTAGCCTCATCTTGCTTTTCCCTATCTTTTGCTCTGCAACCTAGACTGTACCCTGTAGTACCTGGAAATTCCCGTGTTCCAGACAAAGACATTCATGTGGGTGACTACATTATCCCCAAAAATGTGAGTATAGTCTATGAAGCCCCTTTTTCTGAGCCACTCCTTACTATCTTGGGCCCCAGTCCTGCTCTCAGACACCCTTCAAACCTTCCCCTTGATCTGAATTCCTTTCTCTTGAGTACAATGGGGCAGCAGAGAAATAATTCCAAAAGTAGCCCCAGAAAACTTCTCTGTCAACCAGAACCTGACTTTATCCCAGTCCATAGATTTTCTTTTTCATAACTATCCCCACTCTACCCAACTCTTTGCTTCTGAGACCAAACTGACAAGTTTGATTCCACTCCTACCAGACGCTGGTCTCTCTGTGTCACTACGCCACTTCAAGGGATCCTGCCCAGTTTCCAGAGCCAAACAGTTTTCGCCCAGCTCGCTGGCTGGGGGAGGGCCCAGCCCCCCACCCATTTGCATCTCTTCCCTTTGGCTTTGGCAAGCGCAGCTGCATGGGGAGACGCTTGGCTGAGCTTGAGCTTCAAATGGCTTTGGCCCAGGTAAGTGTTAGAGAGCTTATGTACCCAGACTGAGAAATTCAACCCCTCTAAACTGTGAGCTCTTGTCATATGATGAGCATAGGAAAACATGTAAAACCTGGCAGACCTAATCCTTGAAAATATGGCAATGCCATTATAGGTCTGAAGTATAAGCAAGGATATTTGGACTGTCTTTTTGCCTTCTATAATCCCTTACCCTCACTGACCAAGAAGGCCCCTACTGTCCACAGATGCCACCCCAACTATTCTAACACTAATAAAGCCCTTTGCCAGTTAATCCTCCCATTATAGATTCCCTCTCACCCATGGTGATAGCCTTCTTCTTCCCTTTCCAGATCTTGACCCATTTTGAGGTGCTGCCTGAGCCAGGTGCTCCTCCTGTCAGACCCATGACCCGGACTGTCCTGGTGCCCGAAAGAAGCATCAACCTACAGTTTGTGGACAGATAGTCCTTTGAAAGAGGCTGTCATCAACACAATTTCTTTCATCATAGGGATTTTTTGGGCAGAAGATCAAGAGATACACGTGTTCCCAGACAAGGCCTAACTAAGCTGAATATAATGACCGTAGCAAAGTGCAGGAGGCAGCCCTGACCCATGTGTGAAGTATGCACTTGACCTATCTCAGTAGGTCCTGAGCCAACCACGGTCCCTCCACTTGCTTGGCTCTTTTCCTGGTCATATACAAATCCTTCAGAGCTAACTCAGATTTTAACAGGTAATCTGGGTGGCCTGAGATAGGATTCAACTACTGCTCTTTTGGTGCTTCCACAGTGCTCACTGATGCTGCTGGCTAAGCATTTCTCACAGCATGAGCAAAGAAATTGTGCATCTGCTCTGTACCTCATTGGTCTCCCTTTAAATATGTGAGCTCTTCAAGAGAGACGGATGAGACTTTATTTGGTCTTCATATTCCACATCAGGACCTATCTGATTAGGTGACAAAACACACATTCTCATATTGAAACTGGACCATGTAGAGAAGGGATAAACAGCTTACCAGGCTATGTCTACCCCTCTTCCTTCCTTCATCTTGCCCCAAGAAGATGAATCTGCCCTAGACTGGTTGATGATTTAAAAAAAAAAAAAATCTTGGCTCTCTAGTCACTTTTTCTTCTTTTTCTTTGAAACAGTGTCTTACTATGCTGCCCATGCTGGCCTTGAACTCATGATCCTCCTGCCTCAGCCTCCCAAGTAGCTGGTAATACAGGTGTACACTACCATGCCCAGCCTCTCTGGTCATCACTTAATTTCCAGGCAGAGATATCTTTGGGCCAGTCTTGTTTTATTTTTTATATTGAACATTTTTAATATTCTTAAGTTTTCGAATAAAAGAATCCAAATGTTTTATCCTTGACTTTTGACTTAATCTTCTCTTACTCTCACTTCCTGCAAGACCCTGATCCCCATCTCCTTCCTTGGATTTTCAGATCCCAGGAATGACTGCCAAAGCAATGGGAGGTCTGGGTCCCTGGAAGAGTGGTTTGCGATCCAAAGCCTGACATGTTTCTGTCTGCAGTGGGAACAGCCAAGTCTAGTCTTGCTTTCAGTAAGAGGTCAAGGGGGTGGTAGTGAAAAGTAATTGTAGGAGCTGAGTTTAAAATGGGTTGGGGAGCTAGGCAGAGGCAGCTGACTCTTTGGTGAGAGAAGTCTTTTGGAACCTGAACTACCAGAATTGAAGGATATCCTAGAACAACTACTCTGCCCTCTCTGGAAACAAATTACTACAAGATAGTTTGCTTCAGAGAAAGAGGGTCATAGGAAGGGAAATGTGGAGTCTGACAGCATGAAAGTTGAGTGGGAGAGTGGCCAGAAGCCCGGGGCACTGCAGTAGGAACACTGGAATGGGCAGAAGGAGCTAGTTTCTTAGTCAGCATTCTGGCCCCCGAGAGGCTGGACACAGTACTCCTCTTGTAATGTGTGCAGGTTAACTCATCTTCCATCCAGATAAAACTCTCAACACCCTATGCAGCTCCTCTGCATTCCAAATTACCCTTCCCTTGTTAGGGCTTGCCCCTTTCTGCTGTCCTTTCCCCCATTCCAATTACTTGGGTGTTAGTGAAATTTCATTTCACATGTCTTTCTCCTCTGCACTTCCTCTGCCCCATCTTAGACATGGCTCCCTGACCACAGAAACTCCATTAACCATCGGACCTTCTATGAAGGGAACAAATCATGCAAGATCTACGGAAGGGCGTGGTATGCCCAATGCCTTGTGCAAAGACCCAAGAGACCCCTCCTCTCAACTCCCTTCTCTACTTAACACTCAAGTCTCCACTTGTATTCCCTTATCACCAAACCCAACTTAAACCTAAAATGACCTGATTTTTAGCACAGTTAAGCTTTAATAAAGCCCAGCGTACTATTGGGCTTTTTGCCCTGGAATCAGTGATAAGACTTCTACCTACCCATACTCTTTCACAGGTAAGAAGGAATGAACAATCGAAGAGGACAGCAGTGCTCATGACCTTTTTCCTGGAAAAGGATCTCTTTAAGTTAGAAAAAGGGAAGGAGAGGACACCACATTGACCTGGTCCCAACCCCCATCTACAGACCTTCATTGGTGCTGAAGGAGAGGGAAAAATACTGTCACTGTGCCCGGCTATAGGACCCAGGGTGGAAATGGAGATTGTGTAAGCATGCCTACTATTACTGGATGTGTCTAAGTTTCTATATAGCTCAGGCTCTGCACAGAAGTTCCATGTATGGCACTGAGCCCTACTGGCCAGTATGAGTATTAGTAGTCACTCTGATTTCTAGCTCCCATGTAGCCCCCACCAGCTCTTCTGTGAATAGTCTATCTATAAAGTTTGGCCCTCTGTTCCCTCAGGTGGAGGCATAGAGGGATATATCCCTAGGGAAAGCTTCCCACTGAAAGATGGAGGGATTGGCCTCAGTTCTCTCTCTGTTCTGATCTCCTCAGAACTTGGAAGTGATATGCTTCCACATTCCAAGGTGAATCAGACCCCAGTTCAGCTTTGATTCCTATACTTCCAAGTGCATCTGTATCCCAGCACCATGGACAGCACCCGGGACCCTTTCTGGAGAGGATCAAGGTTTCCTGCCCAAGGATATGTGGGCCTTTAGAAGAGAATAATTTTCTCCAAAACACCCCAAGTGAGGAGGAAGCACAGAATCTTCCCTAAGAGAAGGACCAATAATAAGAAAGGCCTCTGGATCTGACTTTAGCAATAATAAGAAGGAATTATTTTAATGTTGATGAATGGTTCACTTGAAAGACACCATCATTCATATAATACACAACCCCCAGGCCTCAGGAGAAGGGTACCAGGCTTTGGATTGACCCACTTTCTTTTTCAGTGCTGGGGATGGAATCCAAATTTCCCACAGAGCCCTCTCTATGCTTCTGCCTCCAAGAACAATACCTTCCACTTAATACTACTAACTGGGCAAACCAGGATCAGACCTGTGATCCTGAACTGCCATCAAAATAGGTCGGGGGGACTCCCTCCATGGGTCCATATTCACTTCATACCACTTTTCTGAGGAAGCACAGTACCTGAGAAGAATAGAATTCAGATGACCTCCAGAATAAGATGGACATCTCCAACCTTTCCCCACCACCAGGCTCTAACGTTCAGAGAGAGGGTCTGAAGAGTTCTCAAGCAAGTGCTATACCCCTGAACTACATCCTTGGCCCAAGGAGTTCTTATTCTTACAAACAACCACCATCCTTCACATTTGCAGTGTCTATTACCCCTCATGTTTCCATATCTATTATAACACTCAAAACAAAATTCCAAGGTTCTGTGCAACTCCTGATGAAAAACACATTTTGGAATTTGTTATACCAGTTACTATTTGAAATAAATGAACCATCAACTAGTCTAGAAATATTTATGCCATTGTTGATTTTCTTTGCAATGGCATCCAACCTGTCCCTCGTTTATCCTCATTCCAACTCTATGAGGTAGACAGGAAAACTATAGCTTAGAGATTTTTTCCTAAATCACACAACTTAAAGGTGGCAGGTCTACCCTCCTTAGATAGCATTGAGCACTGCCATCTAGCAGCCAAAGTGACTTATTCTCTAGCAAGTGGGAGTCACAACTTCAACTCAGAACCCACTGCTGCATTTAGAATTTGCAACATGTGAACAGAAGCCTCCCAGCCCTCCAGAAAACCCCCAGATGAGAAAGGAGTCTCCACGTGCATATAAATGATTCTTTATGCCCTTCCCCCATGCAATGGGGGATGGAGCAGGGGGAAGTCCCCCGCCCTCATGCAGGGAACGGGAGGTCAATGTATACTAGTCTTATTGCCAGATGCCCTGTGGCCATGGGATGGGGAATGGGGGTCTACAGCCCCTTTCTTCTGGCATTGGTCCCCCTTTGCCAAGTCACCATGGTGGAGCTGGGGTGAGGGGGGCTGGAGGCCCTAGGAGCTGAGGTAAAGACGGTTCTTTCCAGGGAAGAAAAGCTGCTCTCCCCACCTGCCCACTGACCATCTCAGGATGAGTATGAGGAGCTGTCAATGGTGGCTAGAATGTCATCCAGGTGTCTACTCAGTGGGCAGTAGAGAACAGACAATGTCTCCAGCCTGAGGCTGCCCACAAAGATCCTCAGTGGTGGGGGCCACTGCCCCAAACACCTTGTCCAGGTGGTTCCTCCAGCAGCCATGAGAGCTTGTGTCTGGCTGATGCATTGACTTAAGATCCCTGCTCTTGGAATCCAGATCAGACGGTGGTGACCCTCATGACAACTTCTCGACCAGAATGGGAGCTGGAACGGGCATCTGGTGGCCGCAGCTGTCCAAGGAGGTGCAGGATTGTATAACCACAGCGCTGAGGCAAGAGCGTCCGCATGCGCTGGGCAGCTGGGGGACGGCTGGTAGCCCCATTGGGGGGGCCCGTCCGTGAGGTCCTGGGGCCTGGCTTCCCTGCTGTCCCTCCCCCTGCATCTCCTCCTATGTCTTTTGTCTTGTCATAATTCAGCACCTTCCACTGCTGGTTCACTGCCTGCCAGCGCTTGAAGATTCGGTAGACAGAAGAGCCTTCATGAACGATGAGGCCTGAACAAGAAGGATAAAAAATCTGGGATCAACTGCTGTTGAGACGGAGGCCAAAGGTCCTTAAAACACACATAACAGAGTGAGATGACACAGCTGCAAAGGATCCTGAAGAAGCAGGGAAGGGAGGGATATCAGGATACCTCTAAGGACCCCAATGGCAGAAAACAAAGCCATGAAACTGAGGGGATAGACAGGAAAGTTAAGTGAGTGACTAAAAGGAAGATGCTAAGCACATAAGGGAGAGAGAGGTGCCCTCACCTATGCAGACAACATCCATGAAGCCGTACATGCCGTAACAGATCTGAAAGAGCAGATCTTGACGTTGCCACTTGGCTGAAGGGCTGAGTGAGGACCAGATAAGCCAGGAGATGCTGGCGACGAGGAAGAGCGAGCCCAGAACTATGGCTGCAATCTGGACTTTCTCGATGACTGTCAGGGAGATGGCCTGCCACTGTGTAAGAGAAAAGACTCCAAATGGTCACAGAAAGGGACAGAGTACTGGGTAATGGGCAATCCTGAAAAGGAGGAGGCTCAGGGGCCTTCTCTACATCCTTTAGGTAGGATTTACATCTGTCTTCTCTGTGATGTAATCAAACCTAAAATGTGACACTCACCTGACACTATTTATCTGTCTTATTTTACAAAGGCAGAATCAGGCAAGTGCTCTAAAGCCAAAACATCTAGGTATAAATTCCAAATCTTAACTCTATCCCTTACTGGTTGAATAACCTTATGCAAGTTTTTAAATCCCTTTGTGCATCAGGGTTCTCATCTGTAAAATGGGGAAAATGTATCTAATTAATAGGATTATTATGAAGCTTAAAAGAATTAAAGAGTTAATGTATAATCACACTTGATAAACAGAAAACACTGCATTTGCTATCATTATCATCATCATCAACTTTCTTTTCCTTTTCTGTTGTCCCAGTGCCTGAAGCAGTGTCTGGAATACAAGTGGCACCCAATAAATGTCTTTGTGAATAAATGAATAAAGGATTTACAGACAGGAAACTTCCATAATGGTGGGGAGCAGTGTCTTTGGAAAAAAAGAGTAAATGAGATAAAATAGGCTCCCTGATCCCTATAGCAGAAAG